CAATCATCTACATCCTACTTCGGATGGAGAATAGATGAAGGATTGAAGTACTTGAGGATGGGAAGGCATTGCCCTTTATGTACCCTCGATTTTTCCTTGGCACGCTAATTCAGTGAACCAATCATTGGCGACTATTTTGTTTGCTATTTGTTTTTTGTTCATCTGCTTGATTTTATATGCGATTATCTGTGTATTTAGAGCTTCTTTTCTCCGGGGCTCCCAGCTCGTGCGAGGGGGGGTGTTAGTACCCATCGGGTCACGTGTCTGACCGCCCTCGCTTTCTGCCCGGTAGTTTATATAGTTAGCTCAGCCGATAGGCCATAAACCAATCAACCATTCACCACACACCAAAATCGTACCTCCTTAATGCTCAGGTCATAATCCCTGCTTAGCTCACTGATCATCCCGCTGAGCATACCCAATGATTCTGCCTTAACTCCCCGCATCGTCACGTGAGGCTGACAGGATAAGGTCTGTAGCAGACAGCCAATGATTAGTGGCTGTAGCATGCTAGTGAATTATAAGGATTTCAAAGGATTGAAATCGCGTGGCACTGCGCGATATTGGGGCTCACCCTCTCTATGGTGCACTCACCCAGGCTCACCCATGATTGCATGACCAGAAAGCAGCATCACCCTCTAACTCACCTGGGAGGCACCCACTGAACTATTGACTGAAGTTAAGCCACACGCCGGCCGGTTAGTAGTTGGGCGGGTGACCACCAGCGAATCCCGGCTGTTGTATGTTTTTGTTTTTGCTCTCGCTCACTCACTACGCTCATGAGCGAGGCTGTATTCTTGCGAGCGAAACGAGCACTATGTTTTATATGAAGTGTTTGTTTGTATTAGCAGTTGGATAGGCAATTAGTTGGTTTTTAATCCTCTCATTGTCGACCGAAGATTTTTGAGAAACGTAGGCGTAAGTTGAGGGAACTGGCAGTGCTATTATTTGCTGATCAAAACCATGGCATTAGCTGGGTAAGGCTGCCGACACACTACCATGCTGTATTACCTGGCTGACCAAATTGATGACCTGAAGTTGTCGGTCCATCAAGCATATAACTAGGGGTCATCATCTCTCGACTCGCAAAGTCAGACGGTATTCTCGCCAGACTGTAGTGGCAGGAACTATTTAGGGCAACATTTTGCTTTGATATTGCTTGCAGTGAGATTAGCTTGCTTCTAGAACTATGCAGGACACATTTTGACGTCTTTTGTAACCTGGTGATTTATTCCAGACATCTATGACGCTTAAGCTTATATCCTACTACAGCCACGCTTTCACTACAACCATTACCACTAGTCCCTCAAAGCATCCTCTTCACAACAAAATAGCAACCCAAACACCAACAATGCAGTCCTCAATAAATGGGGTGCTAGGGGCTACGGCCTGCTGTTTTGATGATGGGGGGTCTTTCTAAGCGTCCGGGTGTATCTTGTGGTCCGGGTAATACGCCTACGCTGGTGTTGGCGATTGGTCTCGCGGAATCCCAAGAATTATCGATTTCAGCGCGGAACGTTGGCTTACTGCTAAGGGGTCTTCTGTTAACGTTGCTGTCACGCTGGCTTACAGTATGAATACGCCGACTGTGACTGTGCGGCAGTGGGATCGAGATGAGACGGATGTAGTGTCGTTGGCTCAGGAGGTTACGGTCTCGTACAGCAATAATGGGGCGTCGGTGTCTGGGTCGATGACAGTGCCTTTCTCGAAGGTTTTGAGGAGGGATGCTGATGTGAATTAAGCATTGGGAGAAGGGGTGTGTTATCACGGAAGATGAATTCCTGGATATGGCTGAAAAATATTGGGGGTGAGATTTTTGTCTGTTTTGGCTGGTGTAGATTTCTTGTTGTAGTGACCTGATGAATTATATACTGTTCAAATTATTCTTTTCTGGAGTAAACAGGCCATTTGAGCTCACCCAACAAGAAACATCGCAGCCCCCCTTGACCCCAGAGAAACATCCATACCCGATGCTCCCCACCAATCTCCTCTCCCATTCCCGTTTATACACCCCTCCACAGACCCATCTTCTCTCCGAACAACATTCATTCCCTGTCCAACCAGGCTAGTACTCCCAGACCCTGGCGGTGCACGCACAATCCCGGTCCAATCAGACGGATACCTAATCTGCATACTGCCTCCACCATGACTAAAATGAGCTGCGGGCGCTCGTGTTGCACTCGACCTTGATCCGTCTCGTTGGGAGCTGTACAGGTAGACGGGATTTGTAAGGTGGATCTGTTGACTTCCGGATGTTGTCTGAGTGAGGATGGACACGCTTTGCTCTAGGTCGGACGCAATCGGGATGAGGTTTGCATTGATACTGCCGCTTTTGGTGGAGAGGTGCACAGATGTAGAGACGATGAAGCGTCCGGAGATGGTGCCACTATCCGTCTCGATTTCGATCTCGTACGGACGAAGGGGAAGAGTATGCGGGTTTTGATATTTCCCGTTTCCATATTCTGCACATTCAACCATCTGCCTTTCCAACTCTGGTACAGATGCAACTGCTGGTGCAGTAAAAGAGACGGAGATACTCCCCGACTGTGACCGAATCCGCAATCTAGCCGGTTCATCGGGGTTCATAGGGTAAGCCGGCTGCGGTACAACAGCCACGCTAATAGCACCGGAAGTCGTCGATAAAGAAAGTAGTTCGAATAATGGATATCTGCCCGTTATAGCTTTATGGCCGTTATCGACGATGATTTCTCGCTTCTGGGGTGAAACCTCCGTGGGCTCGGTTTGCTGTTTCGGAGCCGCGATAGCGGGCGCATCGTCATTAGTATCGAAGTCTTTCTCGTTGTCTCGTGCAGCTTCATTCGATGCCTCTTTCTCATTGTCCGCTTCAATCGGAGCATTTGTTGCGCCGACGATGATTTCTCGCTTCTGCGGTAAAAACTCCATGGACTTGGTCTGCTGTTCAGGAGCCGCGATGGCGTGCGTATCGTCGCTGGTATCTGATTTATCCTCATTATCTCGTGCGGTTTCACTCGATACCTCTCCGTCCTTATCCGCTGCATTCGGGACATTCGTTTCGTCATCATGTCGTTCCGGGTCGTTCTCGGTGTGGGCATCTCCGGGGGCGTCATTGAGATTCCTCGAATCGCGGGTATCATCTATTGCCGTCCCGTTCTCAATTGGAGCATCCTTAGAGACCTTTTGCAAACAGAAAAACTGCCCGTTAGTATAGCAATGGCTTCTGTGGGATTGTAGAAACGTACTTTCCGCGAGTCCTCTTGTTGACATTGTCCTTCTCCAATGCCGGGTATATCTCCCTCATCCTGTGGCCCTTCTACCTCTTCCGTTTTCGATCCCTCGAACGCCGCGAAAAGCACTTCTTCGATCCCAGGCAACACTCCATGCGGTTCCGGCACCGGTTCAAAAACCGAGAACTTGTGATCAAATTCATTCGTTCGAGGACCCTGTCTCTGAAACGGCACTGTATTCGTCTTTGCACTTATCTCTGTTGAAATAGCTTCGATTCGCAACCATAGCGGGTCATGTTCATCTATGGTACAACTCGTAACTTCCCGCGAACCGTTAGCCCATGGCCCGTACCAAGGTTCAGGTTCAGTTGGCATTGATTTCCGGAACAGGGCAGGAACGCGAATCGAATGCAAGGGGGCTAACTTACAAGAAGATGCATTATCCCTCCGGCTGGTGGCTGTGCAAATCATGAGGATGGCTGGTGAGAATATTTGGAGTTGGGTTGTTTTGGGCGACGTGTTGGTGATGATTTACGTCATCAGGCAGTCAGGCAGAAATGGTGGTGTAGTAAATTATGAATGAGTATAATTATGTACAGTAGAGAGTGTAAGATAATAATTGTGGGATTCATTGGTGTGAGCCATATCCGAATAAATAATCATATCAACATCAGGGGGAATCTCTGGTATCGGAAACGAATGTGCTGAAGTAAAGAAACAGGCATAAAACGGCATAAATAATTGGAACATAGACAGATTGAAATAGGGATAATATCAAACAAAAAGCAGAAAGCATCTCAACGTAGTCCAACTCAGGCATATCCCAAGTTCTCCATGACCGACTGACAATCAGTAACAGTCATATTGAGTACACCCAACGACCTGATCTGCGTTCCCCGTCTAAGACGCTGCAGACCAATAGCAACCTTCCACCCTTCACTTTCGTCAAGAACAAAGACGTAGTTCTTGCCATCTTGCTCGCGGAAACTTGCCCGGAGCATGTGGTGACCGCGCTTCGCGAAGTTCAGAGTATCATCGTCGTTACCACTGCGGGTGCCAATACGGCAGGTATTCTTGCACACCCGTAACATATCCATAAGATACGCATCCGACTCTTCGGGCGTGGGAGGCAAGGTAGACCCAGTGCGGAAGGGGTTTGATGATTTCGTAGGGTTCTGGCGGGCTTGAGGAGATGCCGCGTATTGAGAACACCATACTTCGACGGACTTCATGGTCCATGCTTTGGCATCCCATTCTCGTTGAGGCACGCCTCGGATGTCGTCGTCGATGAACAGTCCTTCTGTGGTGATCTTAAGAACCAGGCCATCTGACACCATTCCTTGGCCGGAGACTAGCTGTGCCACTGGAATGTCGACAAAGTTGTTGTTAAAAGCGAACACCCCAGAGATGACAATCTTGTCTGGGTCTTTCGTAGAGTAGCCACCACGGGAGTAACCGCCTCGGTTCGACGGCGGAGGAGAGGTCCGGGCCGTTGAGTGCGACGGAGTATAGGAGGATTCAGAAGCAGTGGATCCAGCAGCGCCCCCTTGATAAGGTCGCCGGGCTCGTTCGTATGGATTATCTTCTTCGCCCGGCTTCTTTGGTAATGGGGTGCGGTGGGGAGGAGGTTCCGGTGGTGCCGAGCAGGAAGACGAAGGACTGGCTTTGGACGCTGCCTCTTTTTTGGCTGCTTCTTCCTTAGCTGCAGCTTCCTTAGCCGTGGTCTCCCTTGCTGCAGCCTCTTCTTTGGCTTTCTTCTCTGCAGCGTCTTTGGCCTTCTTTTCTGCGTACTTTTTGGCGGCCGCTTCCTTGAGAGCTGCGAATTTGGCATCAGCTTCTTTCTTCGCTGCTGCTCTTGCAGCGGCCTCCTTTTCAGCAGCCTCCTTTTCGGCCTTGGCTTTGGCAGCGGCAGCAGCTTTCTCTTCTCGTTCTCGTGCTTCAGCAGCTTCTTTCTCTACTTTGGCCTTTGCCTCTGCAGATTCACGTTCAGAGCGGGCTCGAGCTTCAGCTGCCTCTCTTTCAGCTTTGGCGCGAGCTTCGGCAGCTTCTCGCTCAGCACGCTCTCGTGACTCCTTAGCAGCGGCCTTCCGAGCTGCGGCCATTTCCTTCTCGAACTGTTCTTTTCGTTCTCTGAGCTCTTTCTCCTTGGCCTCATGCTCTTGTTGCCTCTGCTTCTCGCGCGCCGCTTCCTCTTTCTGTCGTTTATATTCTTCCATATTCCGCCGGATCTCCTCTCTGCGCCGTTCCGCCTCAAGCCGGACCTCCTCTTTTTTCCTTTCTTCTTCGCGGCGGAGTTCTTCTTGTCTTCTTTCCTCCTCACGTTGGAGCTCTTCTTGTTGTTTTTCCTCCTTGCGACGTGCTTCCTCCTTCTGTCTCTCCTCTTTGCGCCGGAGTGCTTCTTTGCGCCATTCTTCCTGGCGACGACGAATCTCTTCCTTGCGTTTCTCTTCTTCACGCTGGCGGATCTCTTCTTTCTGCTTCTCTTCCTTTTGCTTTTTTTCCTCACGAAGACGCTGACTTTCTTTCTGTTCCTCTTCACGTCGAAGCTTCTCTTTACGCTCTTCTTCCTCGCGACGGCGAGACTCTTTCTCGCGCTTATGAAGCTCTTCCCTCCGTCTTGACTCCTGCCGAGCCTCCTCCTTCCGCTTCTCTTCCTCACGACGACGCTGCTCCTGTTCCTTCTGCTGCTTCTCCTCTCGACGGCGAGCCTCTTCTTGATTCTGGCGGAGTTTTTCTCTGCGACTTGCCTCTTCACGAGCTTCTTCCTTCCGGTTCTGCTCGTCACGACGACGTTGCTCCTGTCCCTTTTTCTCTTTTTCACGCTGGTTCTGCTCATCACGACGACGTCGCTCCTCTTCCTCACGCCGACTTTGTTCGTCGCGGCGACGTTTCTCCTGTTCCTTTTTCTCCTTCTCACGCCGGAGCTCTTCTTTGCGTTGCTCCTCGCGCTTTAGCTGCTCGCGACGCTGTTCTTCCTCGTGTTGGCGCTTTTCCTCCTCACGTCGCTGCTTCTCTCTGCGTTTTTCTCGTTCCTCGTCGCGTGCCCTTTCCCATTCGGCATATTTCGATCCTTCGTCATTGTCGTTTGGGGTCGATCGGGAGTTTGCATCATCAGCACCGTGTTGTTTACCCTTGTTTGAGCCTTTACCGGAGTTTCCGCCGTCACTCTGCTGTTGGTGTTTCTCGTCCCCACGTTGGCCACCAGACTCCGGACCCCTGGAATCGCTTTCACCTTCCGTGGATTGATCCTTGGTACCGTCTCCATCCCCAGACTCACCCGACCCATTTCCACCAGACTTCCCCCTTCCCCACCTCTCCCGCCACGTACCCGTACCACCCGCCTGTAATGACCCAGCAACCCATCCTATCACACCAACCACAACCATCCCTATCAAAATCCCAATCGCACTCCCCAAACTCCCAATCCCACCACCCGTAACCGTAAGAACATACCACCCCCTCACAACCGGCGCAATATTCGACCACAGAAACATGAACAGGAGTGTACTCGCAGACCCGGCTAGGAAACTATTCCGTTGACATTGTAGAGACGGGAGATATAAGAATCCGGAACCGGCGGAGTGTTGGGGGATGACGAAGATGTCGTAGTTGCCGTCGGGGAGGTCGGATTTTTTGGTGTATTCGCCATTGGTGTTTGGTTTCGAGTTCTTGTCGTGAGGGGGAGGGGAGTTGGAGTCTGTCATTTTGGTTTGAGGGGGGTGTGTATTCGGGGATAGGTGTTGAATCTATTGTCGCAAAGGTAGGACTCGAGTATCAAACGAAGAAATCGATCTCATGTTCACAGCAACATTGAAACGGCACTGAGACTGTTCTCAGCGCTTCAATCGGGCTAAAGGATCAACAAGGTTAGATCGCGATACCACCACAAACAAAGGATAACAATCGAGTCAGTACTGAAGAATCAGTCCGTACTTGTAGAGAGGCAAAGAGAAAGGTGTGATGAAAATGATGAAGAAAAGCGGCGGCTAAGAAAGTTGAGTCGAGGCAGATCACATTTATCACGCCAGCCACACACAATCTCTACTACACTAGTATTTTTCAGTATGTATCATGCATCGGAAATAACGGAAAAAGAAACGAAAGTAAGCATGTCTCAACGCTCCTTTGTTTATTACTCCGAGTCCTCGATTTAGAATTACTGTTAGACCTACAGAGCCAGCTGCACGGTACGATCCTCCACATCATAGCACACGTATTATGGAGTCATATAGGACCCGCCTGAATCGGAAATGAAATGAAAGGAATGTGGATTCCAGATAGATCCAGATCGCTGGAATGCGCCATCTGATAACATACTGTGCTTCTATTTCGATCGAATCATAAGTCTATTACTTTGGCATCTCTCGTATTGATTAAAAGTTGAATACTTCAGAACAATTCTGTACGATACTGACAATGTTTGTTTTGATTTTCCTTCTTCCGGTCGTTGCGCCAACGGTGTGGGTCTATAGAGGAATAACGTCCTGCACTCCTATCACATCCAATCCTGCTATCTGGCACGGGAAATTTATGTTTCCGTTTCAATAGTACAAGGACGTAGTAGTATGTACAAGTACAATCTTCTGTCTCTGACAAAAATAAATAAATGGACAATGAAAAAGCCAAACGCGGGACTCGAACCCGCAACTTTCAGATTTCCGTGATCGCGATTCCGATTCATAAAAGTCTGACGCTCTGACCAATTGAGCTAGCTCGGCCGGTGTTTATGTAATCTCTTGCTTAAAGTGTATAAGTCTAGTACATAGAAGTGATCCATGCATACCCTACTCTTGTACGTACATTTGAGTGAATTAGGCAGCGAGGCATCCCCTGTTTATATCATGACTAGTCCCTGTTGCCTCAGAACTTTTCTCTTCTATCTCATTGCTCTGATTTTCCAACTACCCTCCATCTAACTTACTAACCACATCTAACATATTAACTACAGACAGCAACAGTACGCCTACAGATTCTACGGTTCTCGTGTCAGAAGACAGACTCCGAGTATACACCTTACGACCCCATGTATTTTGAAAGCTGACCGTCTAGAAGTATTTGACTACAACCTCACGACCTTTCTCTTCCTCTCCCTACTCTTCTCCTCGTTCTGGTACCACGACCCTGGTCAGTTTGATCATCCTGGACGACATACGCCCCAAGTCAGTCTAGCTCCGAGCTACCGTTGAATGAGCCAGCAATACTTGCCTTCATGATGAATATCCTTCCCCCATTAACCTGGACGGGGTACTGAAAGGCGAAGAGAAAAAAAAATCAGCGAGAGCCGAGCATCAAACCAGTACTTCATCATTAGACACAGCCCTCAGAGCGTAGCAAGAGGAATCACTTGCCTTAGTGATGAACCCTATGCCGTCGGGTATACTGAAAGGCAAAGAAAAAATATCAGCAAAAGCTGAGCATCAAGCCCGTTGAACTTCTCATTTTTGGACACGGCCCTCAGATCGTAACAAGAGAATCACTTGCCTTGATGATGAGCCCTGTGGCGTCGGGTATACTGAAAGGAAGACGGAGCCGAGCTCCATACCAACACCGTTCCATTATTGTCCCGTCGAGGTTCTCGGAGCGCGTGGGATTCGGGATCCTGAAAGACACAACGAAGTTAGCATAGCTGACCTCAAACCCTGGGCGTTGTCACATTCGCCAGGACGGAACCGTAACAGGGGATACTTATCTTGATGATGAACGCACCTCTCGTATGAGATCTGCAGTACTGAAAGGCCAAAAATCAGCAAAGCTGAGTATCATACCAGCGGCCATGACTTGCCTTGATGATGAACGCACCTCGCGCATGGAGCATTGCTGAAAGGCCATCAACCAGAACATCGTACCCAGTCTCGTCATTATCAGTCGGGACTTCGAATCGTAACAAGCCCATGCCTCGATGACGACAAGACGTTCGTGCTCCATGAGCCTGCGTACCGGATAATTGAGAGGTGATGCTGTCACGGTTTGATGGTCGAACGACTGATAGACAAAAGCTTGGGTACTAGAAATAAATGAAGACAAACAGAAAGCAACGCTTGAAAGTTTCGAGCTCTCTGGGGAGTGGAAGAAGAAGATAAACGACCGGAGAGCGAGAGAAGGAAACTTGAAAAGTAGTAGAAGAAGGGACAGAGAAACGGGAAGCTATAGACAATAATCAGAAGCTCTCGCTGTTCTCTACGGCCTTCCCAGCTAACCTGAACTTCTAGGACGGAGACTACGAGCTCATGGTCACGGTTACCTGATTAGGAAGTCACGACTATCAGGGCATACACAGTATCGGAACGTAAGTTACCCAATACAACATGAGCATCAATACGGTTGCTAAGCATTGGTGGGATATATGTGCCTTATCGCACGAAGTACGATTTGTCTCGAATAACTGCTACGGTCAGCAGTACCAACAAGGACTCGCGATTCAATCCGTAGTGGCGAACAGTCGCGAGTACCACCTTTTTTGTAAGTACCCCATACCAAACTACAAATTTAATGATACACGAGCTAAAAACTACTTCTACTATAATTGCGGATCACATTCGTTGCTGAGGTGGAGGGTATTTGGAGATGCGGAGGTTAGGGCTGGTCGATCACCGAGTCGGTATTAATGTCCAAGTCTGGATGCGATTCATACCAATGAGTCAATGACAGTTTTGAGAGAGAGAGGAAAAAAAAAAAAAAAAAAAAACTTGTTCGAAAAAAATACTGTTACTGACAAAAACTACAGAGACGTTAAGACGCTGAGCGTTGCTATGGAATCATGTAGTGTGCTAAATATGTATTTGGTGATGCCGCACCTATTCTCGATTTTGGACTACTCGACCAAATGATATAAAATAAATCAAGATAAAATTGCCACCTGAAATCATTCTACCATAAAAACGAACATCGAGGTAAACGCTGAGAAGAGGTCGGGCCCGTCCCCCAGTGTGTCGCCTCCCCGGATATCACAAACAGTATCCGCACGGAGGAATAATTCATATAGGATCGCGTCGTCTATAGCTTGTATTTGAATATAGCCCGACGAAACCGAATCTGTGGACTCTAACCAAGAGGTACAGGTCTCTTTCCACCTGGGAAGAATGGAGGGACCAGATGGTTTGGAGATCCTATTCCAGTGGTATTAGACGCTGGCTGTTCAACACCAATAATGTTATTTGGCAGTCACAACTACACCTTTCCATACAGGAAAAGATTGGATATTTTATCTGTTTCCTGTCAAATTTTACTACAATGTTTACTCACTGTAATAGCCCATAGATTCGCGAAGCGGGGGACAGTCTTGGCATAGATAAGGGTCACTTTTTATATAATATACAAGACTTTCAGGCCGTTCACTTTTTATGTCCCTTATCTTAAGTTATCCTTCGGACTGACTCGCGAATGACTCATAGCTTATCTGGTTTACTATCAAGATAGTGTTCTATCGGAGATCCAGGGACATACTCCGTAGCCATGTAATTAGGGCCTTATATATCCAGACGTATATGGAAGCATAGTGCAACCATACCTTCCACTCTACTATATAGCACAATGGCCGACAAACCGATACCTGCTGAAACAACACAAGATGTCTCGAAAGACAATGGTCAAAACATCAACAACACAATTGACACCCGTGCTGAAAGCAAGTTGGTATGGAAATTTGACTTGCGCATCTTGCCCATGTTGGCAGTGATGTACCTGTTCAACAGTCTGGATAAGTCAAATCTTGGAAATGCAAAGACGGCAGGACTGGAAGGTATCCAATTCATTTGCATACCTTACACTACACGGAGGATTATGCTAATTTGGTAGATACCCTCAACTTGAAAAGCAACCAGTATAACATGATACTTAGTATCTTCTTCATTCCATATGTCCTGACTTCCCCATGCCTCGGGATCATGGGAAAGAAGTACGGTCCCAACATAGTACTTCCAAGTATGATGTTCACCTTCGGCCTATGTACCATTCTGGTGGTTGCAGTCTTCAACTTCAGTGGTCTTCTTGCTATAAGATGGTTTCTGGGTATGGCTGAAAGTGCATTCTTTCCTTTGGTTATTTACTATCAAACAACGTATGTCCGTCCCTATACATGGCTACTATGGCAATACTGATGGCTATAGATTCTACCGCCGTGGAGAACTCGCCCGTCGTCTCGCCATCTTCTATGCCGCGCAAAGCATTGCTTCTGCATTTTCAGGTCTTCTTGCTTTTGGGGTATTTCAAACCAAAACCGGATCGCTCGCAGCATGGCGATACCTATTCCTCATTGAAGGAGGGGGTACAGTCCTCTGTGCATTATTTGCTCTATGGTATCTACCAAGATCAGCCTCTGAAGCCAAATTTCTTTCTCCCGAGGAAAAGGAACTTGCATATCTCCGTCTACAACTTGACAGTTCCTCTGTTGTGAATGAGGAATTCAACATTCGAGACGCTCTGCGAGTGTTCAAACAGCCAACCAGTTGGGCTATTTTGGCCATTCAGATTTGTCTTGGTGTCCCGCTGCAATCGGTTCAGCTCTTTCTACCAGAGATTATCTCACGGCTGGGATATGGGACTGTCAAGACGAATTTGTATACCGTTGCACCGAATGTTTCTGGCGCTGTTGTACTGTTGCTTCTAGCCTTTGGCAGTGACTGGACGAGATGGAGGTTTCCATTCATCGCGTTGGGCTTTCTCTTTACTTTTATTGGCTTCGTCATTTACTCTGCCATTGATGTGGAGGCTGACCTTGCTGTTGCTTATTTTGCATCTTTTATCATGACATGGTAAGTATAATCCTTCAGCTTTTCTTCACTATACAACGTACTAACGAGAAAAGGGGCACATCCGCACCGTCCGTCCTGCTCGACACATGGTACAACAACAACATCGCCAACGAAAGCCGTCGAATGCTCCTGACCAGCATCGCCGTCCCAATGGCAAACCTGATGGGTGTATGCAGCTCCAACATTTTCCGCAATCAAGACGCACCTAAGTATCTGCCTGCTTTAATCACAGCCGCCGCCTTTGGCGGTACTGGATTGTGTTTGACCTTGGCATTGGGAGGATGGATGATGGTTGATAATAGACGGAGGGATAGGAGGCAGGGGGTTAGTCTTAAGGCACAGGATATTCCGACAGAGAGGTTACGGGAAGGTCCTGCGAGTGTGGATTTTAGGTGGTGTTATTGACGGAATGCTCTTCCCCTTCACTTCTACATACATGTATCCTGATGTTAAGTAGAACAATGCATACTTTGGCAACGCTTTTCCCGAATAAGAAGTCCATATTATACTTCGTAGGGACTACATATAGCATAGCTCCGAAGGATTCAAGTGTCCCTATTAATTCAAATGAACTGGAATAGGTGACATAGTTTGTGCACTGAACCTCGCACCAATAGTTCCTCAACAGCAGTTGGCTGTTGGGGTCACGAGAACCCCGGAATGGACAACGCAGGAATGCGAGGTGCTGCAGCTGCAATTCCAGCGTATCTCTTTTTCTCTCTGGAGTACATCTACAGAGTAACTACATCTACTGCTCTTGTAATCTGTCCATCCGGAGTGGCGGTCGGGGAATTGCAAGAGCACCACCCGACAAGATCGACGCCCGTGATTGGCCGAGTCCACACGGAGGCTCTACGGAGTACGGGACTACTCCGTATTCCCATTCTCTCTTCAACAACCATCTCCCTTTTCAGACCTTTCTCACGCTGCTGGTCAGTGAGATCGATTGACTGCTTGTTTCCCTTCTATTTCCCTCTTCTTTCTTGCTCCTGTTCCTGCGTCCCTTCTTCTCCCCCCCGGGTGTGGAACACCGCCCCCCGACCATTCAACCACGTTCGACTTCCGCCTATTTCACCTCCCCCCCCGAAGGCCAGCTTGACTTTTCCTCCTCTCCTCCTCCTCTTTCCGACTTATCCTTTACGAACCGGTCCCTCCTCTATGCGGCGACGATAGTCCGAACAATTCCCACCTCCCCCTCCCCCCGATAACATCCACGACTCGCCCCTCGAGGGGCTCATACGGACCCCAACATGTCTTATCCCCAAGCCTACCCGGCTTCACACCGGCCCATGCCCGCATACAACCCCATGGCAGCCATCTCCGCGCCCGCGGGGACATTTCTGCCTGGGACCAAGGTTCAGGTCGGCAGTCATCGCGTTGTCGTGGAGAAATACCTCTCAGAAGGCGGTTTCGCCCATGTCTACGTCGTGCGGCTCCCCGTCCCCATCGATGGTACCGAATCTGCTGTGTTGAAGCGGGTGGCTGTCCCGGACAAGGCCGCACTAGCCAATATGCGGACGGAGGTCGAGACAATGAAGAAGCTCAAGGGTCACCGGTACATTGTTAAGTACATTGACTCCCATGCGTCTCAGCTGCGCGGAGGTGGTTATGAGGTCTTTCTTCTCATGGAGTTCTGCTCTGGTGGGGGTCTCATCGATTTCATGAACACGCGACTGCAGAATCGGTTGACGGAGCCCGAGATCATCAAGATCTTCTCCGACGTGGCGGAAGGTGTGGCGTGCATGCACTATCTCAAACCTCCTCTGTTGCATAGGGATCTTAAGGTTGAGAACGTCCTCATTTCGCGCCGCGGTGGTGTCTCTTTCTACAAACTGTGTGATTTTGGTTCGACCGCGCCTCCTCGCCCCGCGGCTACCTCGGCCGCAGAGGGCCGATTGATCGAGGATGACGTTCAACGGCATACGACGCTACAATATCGGAGTCCGGAGATGATCGATGTCTATCGGAAACAACCAATTGACGAGAAGAGCGATATCTGGGCGCTGGGTGTCCTTCTTTACAAGCTGTGCTATTATACCACTCCTTTTGAAGAAGTGGGCCAGATGGCCATTCTCAACGCTAGCTACAAGTTTCCTAGCTATCCGCAGTTTTCGGATCGTTTGAAGATGTTCATCGGTAGGTGTTTGAAGAATTTGCGAGTGATGGACGTGTGCTAACTTGATTAGCTTCCATGTTGAAGGAGAACCCCCAGAAGCGTCCCAACATTTACGAGGTCGTACGGGAAGTATGCCTCATGCAAGGCAAAGAAGTTCCCATCAAAGACGTGAGTGCTCTTTGATTGTATTCTAAATAATTCTTAGTCTAACTCCGTCAGATCTATTCTGGTCGTTCCCAGTCGGAAGCCCGTCGGTACCAGGAACTACCGCCCTCGCCAACAGAGCCACCGCGAGTCGGTGCAGTCTTCTCCCCACCAGTTCAAGAGACACCGATCAGTATCCCGGAGATAGCCCCCATGCGGCGAGGTCGTCCAACAAACGCGAGTTCCCAGCAAAGCTCTGCCAAACCGAGCCCCTCCCCTTACCGCGACTCTGCAGATCCTTTTGCAGTCTTGGACCGAGCTGGAAGCAAATCTCGGGGCCCAGCTGATGAACTTTCGAACCGGTTCCCGACTTTGGACCAGTTTGATATCCTGCATGAAAAAGGAGGAAAATTCGATTTTGAACCGACAACCGCGAACTCGGAGGAACACCTGTCGCAGAAGCTCACCAATGCACTGGCCGATGATGCTTTTGCTAAGCGTGATGAGGAACCGGTCCGCGAGTCAGTGGTCAATAGGCGTTCCCAAGTTCCTTCGTCGGTGGAGCAAACCAGACCATCCGAGAAGTCTGCCTATCAGCGAAAGGAGCTTCCTGCTACGCCTACCAGCCGACAGCAAACACCACTTTACCAACCAGTTCCCCAGAAACCTACAATGGTGTCAACTGGTACGATGACCTCGCCGGCTCCTACACCGGACTTGCTCGAAAAGAAGTCGAGCCGTCCTATCTTTCGCTTCCCATCTTCGGATCATCAGCGCCAGCTGTCTGGGCGGGGCAAGAGCCCGTCACCCCCACGGCTTCCGCCTAACAAGCCGGAGCCTCCCCCAAAGACTTCCACGGACAGAGTTAATGAGCTCACGGCGTCTTCGTCGCGACTCTCACTGGACACAGCACGACCATCGAGTCTGGAGGTCGGTGATCCTCTGACGCGGTCGAAGTCGGCCAACGCCAAGCCTCGTCCGGTTTCTATGTATACCGGGAAGTACGACCTACCGCGGGAGTCAGAGAGTGCGCGGTCCTCCCTTGAGCTGTCTCGGAATCCGTATGAGGGTGTCCTGTCGCAAGCGCGGGCTGATATGGACCGGGACTACGACCGGGCGAATATCACGTCCGACATTGACTACCTGCGAGCCAAGGAAGAGGAGGAGGTGAACCGGAAGCGCGAGAAGCGGGCCAGTGGAAGCTCGAAACATCATAGCAAGCGGTCAAGTCTCTCCCATCTGTCGCTCTCCAACACGAAGACACTCTTTGCATCTCGATTTGGCGACGCGTTCCGCCGATTTGAAGTTGGTCAAAACGACCAAAAGCCTCAGTCTCCTTCCACTGAGGATATCCCCAAGCAACCCTTAATGGTCACGGCCTCAGAGGTGACCGAGCCTCCTGAAGAGGTAGACAACGAAGAAGGTGATGGCGACATCTCTCCGGAGATGCGCCGTGAGCTCGAGCGAAGACGCCTTTCGCAGGAAGAAAAGCGAGTGGCTAGCGCAGCCGAGGAATACCGGCGACGGGTAGCAGAAAAAGGAGGATCGCGGCCTGGAGCAGATGGCCGGTCGGTCACGATACAAAACAAGGTGCAGAGCTTGATGGGCGAGAGCAGTAAAACCGCACCGCAAAAGACCGCTACAGGATATGGCCGGTTCACGGAACAATCAAACCCACCAGCTTTGCAGGCAAAGCCGAGTGAGCTGCGTTCGGAACCGCTGTCACAGGATTCAACCCCAGTGTACGGCTCCTACACGGGAGGCGGACCATCCCCCGCCATCAAGGAAACCCCCATCCCTAAGCTCTCGACCGCCTCGACAGAATACGCACCCACCCAGCGCGCACAGCGCACAGGACCGCGCCCAGCAGCCCCTCCCAAACCCAAGAGTCTCCGCGTCGACTCCGACCTAACGCAGTCCGGCCTGGACCGCAGCCCAACGGTAGCCAAGACACCCACCTCCCCAAGTGAAGACTGGGAGACGAGTTTCAGCCGGCGCTACCCCAGCCTCTCGGGGCTGGAGATGGTGGAGACGGAGATTGAGATATCCAAAGTGACGAGTCTGCGGACCAAGGAGGTGTAATCGCATGTACTTTAGCCAGTGTTTCTATCTTTTGTTCTATTTTTCACGCCGAGAGCGCCAGACTTGGATTTATGTTGAGATTTGTTATTTGCCGTGTATGGCTATAGACTAGTGAACTAATTTGTTGCATATAGCGATTTGTTTTGAATACGCCTTCGTACTCCGTACTCTGTAGATTCCTGAAATGGTAATGAGACATACCGCCATCCTCTCCGCCAGATACTGCCAGATATTGCCCGATACTGCCATTAGACTTATCACTGCTCAATTCTCAATTCAACAGACATCATGGCGCCAGTTACATTAAGCACGGTCGATAGTGAGTGCTATCCCCTTATGGTTGGATATGAAGCTAACAAAACAGACGACCTCAAGGACATCATCCAACAACTCTTCGAAATCCAATCCGCCGTGCATGGCTATCTCGGCCACGAGACGCAGCAGGAACTCGTCCGGAAAATGTACGCCTACCCTACCAATCTACCAACTCATACTCATACACATACACATACTTAACATCAATAGAAAAACATTAACCCTCGCCCTCTCAACCCTTTCCTCACACACCCAAGACAACCCACCCCAACCCTCCGACCCCCAACAACAATCGCAACAAGGAAACCCAGACCCCCCCCTCAGCAGCATCCAACTCCCCCCCGAGATAATTGACTACGTCGACTCCGCGCGTAATCCGGACATCTACACGCGCGAATTCGTCGAGTTAGTACAGCGCGGCAATCAAGATCTCAAGGGGAAGAGAGAAGCGTTTGCGAGTTTTCGGGATGTGCTGGCGAGGGAGATGAGGAGTGCTATGCCGGAGTGTAGGGGGGAGGTTGAGAGGGTTATGAGAGAGGCGTAGTGTTTATTTTGGGTTATGTTGGTTATTGGGTATTGGGTATTGGTGTATTTGGGTATTGGTAATATGTATGTATATTGTTGCCTGAGGCATGATGAAAAATACGCAGAGTGTAAGATCAGGAATAGTTACCCCGGATTCTCATGACAGGTTGAGTCAGCAATGGCAGCCTCAATCTTTCTCCGCACTTTGACAAGGCTGGGGAAATCGGGATATCTACATACATATGTATACGGGGTACTGCCAATTGAAAGATACGGGGAATCGGGATATGACGAGTACTGCAGCAACAGCCAAACCAGCATTGGCCGGTGCCCCGGGCTGTGTTGGTTGTTCTTTGCGCTGTGGTTTGGCGCCGTCGTGATCAGCACCCCAGAACCAAATACGGCACACGAGTCATTTTATCGTGCAGGGGAGGCTCAACCCGGGCACTCACGGGCAAGACAGACAGACAGACAGACAGGCCTCGCAGACTCTCGGTTTATTTCGGTGCCAGAAAAAGAAATAAGGAATAAGAAACGGAAACGGAAACAGAAACAGAAAGTTATCCCCGCTCGTTTACCAAGACGACCAGTCATTCTCGCTCGCTTCGTGTTGGTGTGATTCTTGGCTGACCCTGGTCATCACAATCGCCTTTCTCTGTCTTTCTCACCTGCGCTTTACTCTTTTACTCTTTCACACCAGCATGATATTCAGTTCTCTTGCTGTTAATCTGTACACAATGTGCTATCGCTCTCTGTCCATCCCAATAATACCGTCATGAGCAACGACACTTTCATTGATCCCGGGCAGGGCATCACCGGCGGCCTCGCCGATGGCCCCTGGGAGATCAAAACCGTTCTCGCGACTCTTGCCGCCGTCGCTTGGTATAATGCTCTCGAACTGATAGTGCTCGTTTTTGTCACCTTTCGCGAGTATCATGGCCTTTACTTCTGGAGTCTTTTGGTTTCCGCATCGGTCGGGCTCGTGCCCTATTCCTTGGGCTTTCTGCTCAAGTTCTTTGAGGTCTGGTCTGCTTGGCTGTCTGCGTCGTTTATCACAGTAGGATGGTACTGCATGGTCACCGGGCAGTCTGTCGTCCTTTACTCCCGTCTACACCTAGTCATGCGCAACCAGCGTGTCCTCCGTCGCGTCCTAATCATGATCTGCGTCAACGTATTTATCCTACACATTCCAACAACAGTCCTAACCTACGGCTCCAACATCGCTCCCAAAGAAGACCAACACCCCTACATGCGCGGCTACAACGCCATGGAGAAAATCCAAATGACCGGCTTCTGCATCCAGGAATTTATCATCTCCGGCCTGTACATCTGGGAAACAACAAAACTGCTGCGCCTCGATCCAGACCGCAGCAAACACAAGGTCATGTACCAGCTCATCATCATCAACCTCATCATCATCTTCATGGACCTGGGTCTGCTCATCATCGAGTACATCGGGCTATACATCATGGAAACAATGATCAAAGGCGTGGTCTACAGCATAAAACTAAAACTCGAATTCGCAGTGCTCGGGAAACTAGTCCGTCTCGTCCACTGCCATATCTGGAAAACAGATTCTGTGGTCCTGCATCACCACGACCATCCGAGATTTCATCGCCATACGCCAACTGGGCATCATCTTCCGGATTTTGTCGATACCACTCGCGTCACGACGGATCTTACACATGCCCCAACTGTTACTACTACTGCGTCGACTGTTAAGACTCGACGACCGAGTACGCTTCCTCCTGCCGTCGCTACACGTCGTCGCTCGGTGCCGGGGATGGACTATGATGCTATATCGATCGCTATGTTTGAACACTCACCTCCATCGCGAACCTTCAACTCTTCTCGTTCCGATATCGCGCCGGAGGATCTGGAAGCTCCTCGTCATTCCCACCATGCCAACAACAGCGATCACGACCACGACCTAGAAACCAGCCCCTCTGAATTCTCAAAATGGAGCGGCGACACCCGCACCGTCACGAACAACAGCGCCACAACCACGACCTATCCGGTTGATTTTACAGAGTCGCTGGATAAGCAGTGTTCTGCATGGCCGTCATAATATCCTTATACCCTTCTTATCCGACTTTTCTATTTCTTGTTATTGTTTAATTCGACGACTTACGATTCACGATACGAACGACGAATGATCAGATCACGAGATCATGTCAACTCATCTCATACCGCATCTTATTATATGGTGTACTACCACCACCTACCACCTTTATCTTGATCTTGGCCTTATTTATGATATCATTTCGGGAGATTGGGCGAATCATGCATTGTGCAACATTGCCAAGGCTCAGGGCTTGGTTTGGCAATAATAACATTGGATATATGTCATTGACTTGTGATTTAGTACTACTACATATTGGTTGTTACATAGGAATGTGTACCTGCAGTTATTTTCGTACAAAGTGTGCAAAGAATAAATACTTTTTCCTACATACAGTGATGATATCGACCTGAATGAAATCGATATATATAAAACCCGAAATGCATAACTCATATCCCATAACAATCCATCAAGCCAACCCTTTTATAACAAATCATAGAAACATGGCCCTCAGATCTCAAACCCCTTATACCCCTCCACAAGCCCATCAGCCAACTTACTAACCCCCACCCAAGCAGGCGCATACCGTCTCACCTCATCCAACGCAGGTATATTCCCGATCTCATTCTGATCGCTCCACATACACACCACCCTTCCTTTTACCTTCACCTCCTCGGTATCAGATTTGGAAGAAGTAGGAAGATCAACATCAACAACCCACTCCCCATCCCAAGCCCGACTCCAGAGCCGAATTTCCCTAGTCCCGAGCGCATTACCATCCTCGTCAACCGATACATGCGGGAAACGGTCTTCGTCGTATGCGGAGTTGTGGACGTGGTAATCAGGAATAGGGGTATCTTCGTCGAAAACGAGTTTGCAGGCGCGGGTGTTTTGGCCGGTTATGCTGAATTGCACCGTTTGTTTCTGGGATGAGCGGGTGATGTTGAAGGAGAGCCAGTCTTGGTATTCGGTGTTGTTGTTGTTGGTGGTGGTGACGTGTGGGAAAAGACCGGGGTATGTGCATTTCACGCGGTCTGCGAGTGGAGCGCATGTTACATCTTCGCCTGCGGCACTGACGCTGGGAAGGTCACTGGCGACATCGTGGACGAAGGGCATGACTCCTGTTAGACTTGCGTGGTTGACGCCAGTGTTTAGATCAACGTCCTGGATGAAGAAGAGTTTCAAGCGGTTTGACTCTGAGAAGGGGAATGCGACAAGGTTGTATATCATTGTGCCGATGAAGATGGATAGCATGAAGAGCGGGATGTGGTGCGTGTAGCGATGGATGAATGGGACCAGTGGTGAGAATAGAAGAGCTGTTAAGCTCGCGATGCAGATGTAGATGAATAGCGCAGGACTACCGTCTTGACCGGTCTGTTGGAGTGCCGTCGTAAGCAACAGTGCTAGCGGACCGGTCATCATGAGGACGATAGGCGCGATGAGGATGAACTGCAGAATCCAGGTCCATTTCGGAAGATAGGAGCTCCATAGCTGTTCGAAGCCATATACCCCCGAATCGTTTGTATCATCAGAAGACAGACTGTGGCTGATCGAAGCTACCCGTGTGTAGTTTGCGAAAGTAGTCCTGTGGCCGTGTCCGTGTCCATGTCCACCGCTACCACGACCACCACGCAGCAAAGACGTCGCTTCAGAAGGAGGTTCTTCAGCCTCGTCACCCTCTGTCTCCTCAACATGGTTATAATCCTCATCTGCAACCGCCGTACCTAATCGACTATTCGTACCGTAGCTATACGACGACTGCGGCGGCAACGGCGCAACAAACCGACTCACATACTCCGCTTTCCGCGGCAGGAAAAACATCTCCAGATAGCTTATCCAAGTAGCCAGAAACACACCAGCAAAGTAGAAGAAGATAAAGTATCCCCCCGCCAACCCTCTCTGGTTCTCATACACCGTCGCAGCAACCAACATCGCCCACGTAGCAATAAACAACCAGGTAAGCGTATGCACGCGATGGAAAGCAGACGGCCGCGCGAAATCAGCAACCCGCGAAGCGAACCACGACAGGAATATCCATGAAGAGCCCATCATAGCCCACACAGCATACGGGCTGCTGTGCACGATATATGGATTGATCTTGGTAACCAGATACGCCAACCCAATAGTCACAGCCGTCGGGACACCAACGAGAAACGGAAACCGGAAGAAGCCCCGAGCACCACCAAGCGAGATACCATTGCCCAGCGCCGTCGATCGAAATAGATACATCCGATCAACATTCACAAGCGCGATACTCGTAGCGAGCAGCGTCAACGGCGCAACGACGAGCAACGTCACACTCAGCGCGAAAAGCGTATGCAATCGAAACACCACAAACGCGCTCCCGAACATATCAAACCACACAGCCCGAGACCCAGACCCAGACTTTGGTCCACTGTCCTCAGAAACAAGCGTCTCCGTCGTCGCAACAGCCGCGGAAAGCATATGCCACAGCGAATCCACAGTCGTATGCTTCGAATCATCCTGATCAGTGTGATATCTCGCCCTGGGCTCCATAAACGCCACGTCCAGTCCACGGAGTCCCATATCCCCCTCAAACACCACATAATCCGTCTGACTGCGTATCAACCCCGTCTCGAATCCATTAGCGCTGAGAATCGATCCAAACGGATGTTCCGACTGCGCATACGAGTGCGTGATCTCCGTATCCGAGCTGCGAAACAGCGTCGCGCGACCACCTGCACCCGCACCCTCGAGATTGAGGAATGTTTTCGTGAACTTCGAAATCGGATGTTGACTATACACCCGCGCGCCGTTAAGAAAATCCTCCTCACCATTGTTAAACAGCACCACAAGTCCATGTCGCGGCGCATGTCCCGGTGTCGTGAAATACCGCAATAATTGTAAACAAGTCACGACGCCGACTCCGTCATCTGTCGCTCCGTATCCAGTAGACACACTATCATAGTGCGCGTTCACGAGCACGCCCCCCTTGTCAGGAATATAATCACTATCTTCCCAGAAATCACCCTTTTCATCCTCAGATCCGCGGATATAAACCATAATATTCGTCCCTTCAAAATAAACACCCACACCCGTGGACCCAAGCACACTCCCCGCAAACGTGAGATTTGACTGTAAATCATCAAACACGACCACCTCAGGCGTTCCCTTCCCATCGCCTTCTTCCTCTGCATCCTCTGCCGTGGATGCAGTCGCAGTTATCTCCCCAATCCGTTCCAACAGCCACCCCCTAACCAAATCATTCTGGTGCGAATTATACGGCCGGAACCCATCCGTCAACAATTGTAGATCCGTCCATGCTTCTGATAAGTTTAGACCATGCGGAGTGGCGCTGGGGGTCGGCGCTGGGGGCACGACTTGGTGGATGACGAGTAAGGGGATTGCAAAGGCGAGGTAAATGGCTGCTGTGAGGAGGGTGACGGGCCAAGGGGTGAAGGCCAATGGGTTGGCGCGGAATATTTTGGGAGTCATTGAGAAGATTCAATGACTGGGAGAGAGCTGAGGATCTTTGGTGATGTGATGGAAGGGCGGAGCTTATCGGGCGGGGACAGATATCATACGGTACGGTAATTACGATATCGACCAGATGCCTCAGGCAAAAATCACCTCTGTAGAATAGTCAAGATTGTATACTACTGCTAACCATGCTCACCGGCCACAAATTCGAGATCATATACATGCTTAAATGCTTAATCCCAGATAGACAGAACAAAAATAACAGGAGGGAAAAGACAGTAATCACAATAGCCGCTGTCAATGCAAAAAAGAAACAAGAGAGAAGAAAATCTCCTAATCTATCAGCAGAGCTCGCTCCGTGATATTATCTGGGATGGATGGACCAATATGCTGGCACAATGAGAATGAACAAGTGCAAAAATGACGGCTAACAAAAAGGAAAAAGAAGGGGTATCAACCATGGGTGGGACTTCCGACGTCCATATATTCATCGTCGTTGATTACGGCCGCATGCATAAGGCCAGTCACCTGGCCTTCATCTTCATCAAAATCTTCATCATCGAACATGGTCTCGACTGGAGGCGGATGGATCTCATTCAAGCGATCCCGGAGTCGACCCACGCCGTCGCCGCTGAAAACGCAAAACAGCTGTCGTTGTTGTTGCGTAAAGTCTGGTGGTGCCGCGCGGCAGTGCACTGTGAGGTCTGGTCGCAGAAAAGCGTGCACTCCGGTCAAACTGAGGTGAGTAAGACGAGGGCATTGGTTGAGCAGAGCTTGGATTCCCTAGATATTGTTAGTACATAGCTTGTCAGGGTAGATAAAAAGCTCTCACCTCCAAAGTCAGCTCGAGACAGTAACTCAAATGCACCCGCTCCAAGCTACTAACACCCAGCGGGTGAGTCGACGCCCTTGGCTGAGACAAGGCAAAGAGACTCCTATCGGTAATCGATTGGCACTTGACCAGGCCAATTCTTCTTAACTTCGGCAATGTCGCCAGATGCTGAACACTGCGGTCTGTCAGGTTGTTACAGCAGGCCAGATCAATATACCGGATCCGGTTACACGACTTGACGAGATGTACCACCGCAAAGTCCGTGATATTCGAGCAGTGACCCAAATGCACATAATGTAAGTTCTTGCCGAGTCTGCAAATCGACAAAACCGCGCGATCTGAGATGAGCCGACATTTCGAAAGAACCAAATTCCGTAGACGAGGGGCCGCATTGATTATGCGCTCCACGGACTCATCCGTAATGAGATCACACGACGTCAAATCAAGTACGCGAAGGGTATCGAGCATCAAATAATCGGGGATCGACAAAAACGCCGAATCGTCGATATTCTTGCAGTCTTGCAGTCGTAGTTCTCGGAGACTCCGGAGTGCGTTTATGAGTGCGGTAATGGATTCGCTAGTGACGAGCCTGCAATTATGTAGATCGACTTCGAGGACGGCCCGGCAGTTTTGGGCAAAGGACATGACGGTCTGGTCCGTGAGTTGCGTGACGCCGTTCAGTTTTAACTGTTCTAGTTAGCTATGGACATTTGTAACAAAATGAAGAATGCGCACCCTTCTGATTTGCCGGCAATTCTCAGATACAGCAATAAGCGACTCATCAGTCACCTTGGCGCAATTGGTGATATTCAGCCCTTGGAGTCGAGGGCAATTCTGAGAAACGATATGTAAGGTGTGATCCGTGAGGGAAGTAAGATCTGAGACATCCAGCGCCTGCAGATGCCGGTTCCCATCGACCAGACCCGACACGCCCGTATCCGAGAGGTGCGAGCAGTTGGTCAACGTTAACCGTTCGATCCGATTGCATTGAGCAAATGGCACCACCGTGCCGTCGCTGACGTCGATCAGCGCAGACAGATTCAACCGCTTGATGAGATCCGAGTAGGAAAACAGGCTGCTCGGATTCCCCACCGTCGCCGCGACGCTCTTCAGATTATCCCAGTTGTTGCACGACGGCCGGTGCCATAGTATCCCCACGCAATTTGCTGCCCAACCTCTGCACACGAGCATACAATTCAACAAGTCGGAGGGGGAGCTGATGCGGGTGAAGATCGCAATGAGGATCTCGGGGGGCAGGCGCCCGATGGGCGGGAGCATGATGTCCTGCCCGCTTTGCCCATCGAGATCACGGTAATTAGAGATGCCGACAGAGGATTGCGAATCGTTCGCCTGGGCTGTGAAGAAATCCGTATCATCATCGGCGGCGCGTTCCGGCGATGTCGACGATGACGACCCGGAGGGAAGTTCGCTCGGGAATCGAGCGGGTTGTCGTGAGCGGGGCATGAGATTCTTTTTCTTCCCTTTTTAAATTTCCTTGATCAGTGATATTCCTTCGAATTTATTGTCGTTCGCGCAATAGACTCCTGGCGAGAACAGGGTCTTCATGAGGCCTCAGCCAGAGTCGGAGTCAAGTCGAGAAAGAACAAAAGAGAGATCGATCCGAGAGGAAAACCGTCACAACGAGTGCCAATCGGGGGCGGTGATGTCGGAGTGTTCGGACAGCGTTTCAGCTACCCCTGATCGAGACCAACGGCGAGGCACAGGAAAAGAGACAAAAATTCAGAATTGGATCCGATATAGGATCGCTTATGGGGCCGAATATTGAAGTAGCGTTTGGAGGGAAAACGGGAGGAAGCGCGCCCGAGAATTGATCGACCGCTTTGCCGGAGCTGGAGCACAAAAGGGAAGGTAAGGGAGGGAACAAAGTATTCTTCAGGTCGCTGGATTATGTACGTTATGCACGTATGTATGTATCGAAGTATGTATTGCTGTATATGTAGGGCGCGGCAGGAGGACTGGAGGTTGTGCTGAAGGAAACAAGCAGGCAGGACCGGGAGAGACGCAGAGAGGCTATAATCGAGCCTTGCGATGCGAGTCAGTCAGAGCCGCAGAGATGTATATATAGAAAGAGAAACCGAGCAAACAGCGGTTGAAAACAAACCATGCGAACAGGGGAAAGAACCGAGTGAGGAAGTCAGAGAAGGCGGCGGCTACGAAGGCGGGGAGACAGGCGAGGCGTTTTTTGTATGCGATTTGAGGCAGAACTGAGCGAGAGATATTACAAGGAAAATGAATTCGATGAATTTGGATAGTTGAAGAAAAGAATAGCGCGAAGATGAAAAAGGAAGATGGTCAGACGAACTCTGCGTGACAATGTCCCGTGCGCAGTCCTTTTGAACCTTGCAACTAATCAAACAATGGAGGTTACAGTTCTTCCCATTTTCTTCTAGATGACTACCGTATTCATACAACCAAACAATAATCATGTATACGCATATCATTCCATATAACCGAAAGACAACTCAAGTGCGAGCAGCACCCTTTGCCCAATCCCTCAACACGTTCTTCCTCAGCTTCCCTGTGCTAGTCTTAGGCAACTCCGGCACAACCTCCACCTCACGAGGAATCATAAACTTGCTAATATCGCTCTTGTTGCGTGCCCAGCTAATCACATCTTGACCGACCAATGGCTTGCCCTGCTTGGCCGTTACATACGCCTTGGGTCGTTCGCCCCAGTGGGCGTCGGGGACCGATACCACGCCGGCTTCGAGGATGTCGGGGTGCGTGACGAGCATGGATTCGAGGGCTACAGAAGAGATGTTTTCGCCGCCTGGATTTTGTTAGTATTGCCAGGAATGAGGGAAATGAGAAACGAGGGAGGCTTACCGCTGATGATGATATCCTTGGCCCGGTCCAGAATCTGGATAGCCCCGTCTGCATGCCAAACAGCCAAATCGCCCGAGTGCAAGACACCACCCAAGAAGAGCTTCCGCGTCGCCTCAACATCCTTGTAGTATCCCTGGGCACAAATGTTACCAATGAAAACGATCTCTCCAATTTCCTTGCCGTTACGCTCGACATCGGTAATGGTTCCCTCGGGAACATCGGTCTTGATCACCCGCGCCGGCAGACTGGTCAAGAAGCCGTGGCCCTGGCGAGCCATCTTCTGGTACTTCTCGTGGATTGGGAGGTTATCCCACGAGGGCATGTAGTATCCCTTGGTGATCGGACCGTATGTTTCGGTCATACCGTAGACGTGGACGGGGTGCAGGTTCAGGTTGGTCATCTGCTCGAAGAGATGGGGTGTAGGTGGGCTGGCAGCCACAGTGACGCTCACTGGCTCAGGGAGTTTTTCGGCTTCATCGGAGTTGCAGAGCAGCGTGTTGACAGTCGGAGCAGCGTTGAAATGGCTGATTTGCTCCTCCTTCAGGAGCTTCCAGATTTGGGGGTAGTCAATCTTCCGCAGGCAGTAGTGCGTTCCGCGGACTGCCGTAACCGCCCATGGGAAGGTCCATCCTGAGAAGTGTTAGAAGACTCTTATAGATGCAAAGTAAGAGATACCTACCCATAGCATGAAACATAGGCAACGTCCACAAATAATGACACTTCCTCCCATGATAATTCAACCCCGACTCGACAATATTAGCCAACGCAGCAAGATAGCATCCCCGGTGTGTAAACTCCACACCCTTCGGCTTTGCAGTCGTGCCACTAGTATAAGCAAGCGCAATGACATCGTCCTCACTAGCAGCCTGGCTCTCAAGCGCCTCCCAGCCTTTTCCGCCATTGTCCAAATCGTACTTCAGACCTTCAAAGACGGCAGAGTCGAACGGGCCGGTCATCTGACCGGCTGCCGCGTCCGTGTCCGTATCCACAATAACCGGGACACCGGGCTTTGCGGCTCGGTAGGATTGCAGGAGCGGAAGATACTCTTTATCCGCAATTATTACCTCGGCTTCGGAGTGGGTGAAGATGTAGGCGATGTCGTCTTCTTTGAGACGGTAGTTTACCGCTGAGTGTCCAGTTAGTTATTATGTTTTAGAAGTGAAAAAGTAGAGATTCAAGTGCAGCTTACCAATGTTGATAGCTCCCGCAGCAGAAATACCGAAGATAGACTCCAAGAAAGCCGGCGTATTAGGACACAAAATCCCAACTCTCTTGTAGCCATGCTTCTTGATCCAGTACGCAAGTCCGCGTGCCCGATCCGCAACCTCAACGTACGACCTGCGAAGTACCTTGCCATCCCTGGTGACATGGTGAACAGCCGTTGCCTGCAACCATTAGCTCCTGTAAGAAACCAGAAGAACCGGACAAGATAAAGAGAGGAATGCTTACTTCCGGCTCGATAGCAGCCGCCCGGGGCAAGAAAAATGTTGGCGAGAGGGTGTGGAAGTTGATCTTAGGACCAGGTTGGGAACCAACAAAGTGGCCCAACAAACCTGACAATCTGGATTTGGCGTCTGACATGATGATAACAAATTGGAAGATGTGAATTGACAAACAAAAAAAAAAGTGCGCAGAGATCAGAGGAGGATTACCGAGAGGAATGTAAGGGACAGGGATGGGAATCCAGAGTCCATGGTGGAAGGATCCGAGTACAAATCACGCAGCCTTTTAAAAGGTACGGCGAGTACGTAGCTTCGCGTATCCACCGACTACCGAGTAAAGTTGCGGGGAAGTCGGTTCAGATCTGGGGGAGCCGCGGAGCTAGCGGACGGGCGGAAATAAATCACCATTCATAACTCTACAATGTAGTCCTACTCGTACCTATGTACTACAGAACAAAGTGGTTACTAGAAAAAATAATCGTAGTCATGAAATCGGATTATAACCGCCACGGCGCGAAAACAAACAATATGGGTCAACTATTTTGAAACAACCTTGTTCATCCCAAACGACTCCGTATGAAATTTTTTTAATATTCGTCTTTGTTTCTCATTTTCAAACAGATATCGGTCTCTCCAGCCCTCTTCCCATTGCCCGTCACAACTTGGTCATTGTGGTACCCCATCATAAGCAGAAATAAGGGAGGACAATGGAAAAAAGTAAAAAGACGTCGATCGGTGTTTTGGTGGCCCCGTTCAACTTCGCTGAAAGAAAACCGTTTGCGATCCCCAACCCAACCATTTCATTGACAAAAGCAACCGGCCGAGCAACGAGGTATCTAGAATCCGTACTCAGCAAGCTGGCTCTTGGTCTTGTCGTTAACAGCCGCCGACTTCTGGGACGAGACCAGTTGGCGGCGGGCGGCCTTCTTGCGCTCGTAGTATGCGCTGCTCTTAACCTTTCTCCGCTCCTCGAGTCTGTGATCATCAGCCTTCATTCTTTTTTGAAATACAGTATATAAATGTAACGTACCTGGAAACAACGTCCTGGTACTTCCAGCCAACCTCGTGGCTCAGACGGCCAACGGTGCAGTACTTGCGGCCAGGGCGGAGGCGGAGGACACGCAGAGCCTGGGGAACGACGACACGCTTCTTCTTGTCATACGGGGGAGGAACACCCTCGAAGACCTTGAGGCGCTCCATAGCGGCGGTACCACGGGCAGTCTTGTGGGGAATCATGCCGCGGATAGCCTTGTAGAAGATGCGGGAAGGAGCGCGGAAGTGGAAGGGACCTGAAAAGATGCGTTCAGTACTGCATCCCATATCGCATATCCAGTAGGTGAAATCTTACCACCGCGAGTAGGGTTGAAACGGGTCATCTTGCGGAGGAAGGAGTGGTACTTGACTATATCCGGAGTCAGTTTTCGTTCTTTCTTTATCGTAACCGGTATCGTTGTGTCCTCCATTTTCGTGTCCCAAATCCGTTTCACATGTCGTTCCTCCTCATCTGTCGATTTCCACGCCACATAACACACAACAAATATATCCACGATGCACACGATACCGGAATCAAAACACGGGGTAGGATTCGAACGTACGCTTCGCACGGAAGAACTCGCCGGAGATGTTGAGGGCCTCACATCTCACGACGACGATCTTCTGGCCATTGAGCAGCTGCTTGGCAACAGTGCTGGCCAGGCGACCAAGAAGGTGTCCCTTGCCGTCAATGACGACCTAAGATAATCCGTCAGCGCTCCATTCCAGACACACAACTGCAAGTAAAGATATCGCGTATAGATTCGAATAAAGACAAGTAAAACGGGGGGGTTCGATGCGATGGCACATACAACTGGCTCGGTAGCGGACATCCTGTTGTCACCGGTTCGAAAGGAAAATATCCAGCGATAGGAAGAGCACTGCTCTAGGATACTCCCTTGGGATGTATGTTGTCGGCGGTTGTTGTCGTTGTGGTCAGGTTCAACGCACACAACGATACCGGATGGGCGTTCGAATGGGCAATGGCTAAGCGAGACCCGCGAGGCTAATTGTGCGGGCGGTCGGGTTGAGGGCCCCAGCCCTAATGGTGGCGGTGGCCAATCAGGGGCTGTGGGTCACGTGCTATATACGTCGGCGGTATGAGTACTCCGGAGTAGGAAAGTTGATAAGAGGTTACACTTTATGGAAGTTCCCTTGACTGCTGGCCTAGACCGAAGAGTGTCTGGTTGGTTGAATGTCTGATTCATGTGACTGTCTTATCAATCTGGCGTTCTAATACGGAGGACTTGCAACTATACTATGTACAGAACATGGGCACTCATAGTACAGACACTAACGCGACAGACACTCAACGCGAACTCTTTGAACCGCGATGACCGATCCCTCCACGGCCAATAATGATACCTATTCCGTAGTCTTAAAAGACCCTCCGGAGAAGCCATCATGAATCCGAAGATCACTGGGTCCGCTGACTAAGCACATAGATGTTCTCTGTAACTACAAGTACTCTGTACTCTACGGAGTATGTACTCTGTACCTGGGTTCCCTGTCCAAATATGCATCGAAAAACTCGCGTTGTTTGTGTTTCTGATACACATGCTTACGCTCCCGCAGAAGCAGGCTTCAAGTTGCCTGCAGGGGACGTCCTGATTCATGCCGGGGATCTGACTAACCTTGGCAGTCTATCGGAGTTGCGTAGAACTATCGATTGGATTGCCAAGTCAGATTATGAGGTAAAGATTATAGTGGCTGGTAGGTTTTTACTAAGTTGTAATAATAGTTAGCCGAATATATGAGTAAGGACTAATAATAGCAGGCAACCACGATGTCTCGCTCGATCCCACGTTCTACGCCAGACACGGCACCGGCTTCCAGAAGGGCCATCTAGAAGGTCCACAGGAATGTATCGAAGCCATTACGAAGGCTTCTTCTTCTATTCTATACCTCAGACACGAGTCAGCAGTAGTCCGTTTATCCCGTCCCGATGGCCCAAAAACAGTGTTCAAAGTATTTGGCTCGCCGTATTCACCATCCAGTGGTAATTGGGCGTTCGGATACGAGACGGCTGATGCGGAGGCCCTCTGGGACCAGATACCGCGGGATACGGATATAGTGATAACCCATACACCTCCATATTCACACCGTGATAACCGAGCGACAGGAGGCCCGGTCGGATGTGCGGCATTGCGTCAGGTCCTGCAGCGTGTCCGGCCGAAATTAGCAGTATGTGGCCATGTACACGAATCGCGAGGCTATGAACGAGTACGGTGGATTTCTGCAAGTGAAACCGATCCCGCGGCCAAGGACCAGGTGATGGTGGTGCCTGGGGTGCTGCCACCCCCGGGAAGTAAGAAGCAGAGCCTTGTTGATCTTACTGGGAAGAGAGCCCCGCGCTTGGATAATCTCTGGTCGTGGGCGCATGGGGACTGTACGACATCACGCACGAAAGACCAGAGCCTTGTTTCTGGTTGCTCTGGCTCTGGCTCTGCCACGAACGCGAACCGGTTAGCGATGGAGAGACGACAGATGACAGAGTATGAGGGAGGTGGTGATCGTGATGACAGCGATCATGCGATCCGAGCGCGAGCACCGCGACGAGAGACGTGTATTGTCAATGCAGCTATCATGGGCACTAGTTGGCCGCATCGCGGAGGGAAGAGGTTTAATACGCCGATAGTGGTTGATCTGGAGCTTCCGATGCAGAAGGCGCTTCCGCTGGATGAGGGTCCAGGATACGATAAGCAGTGAAACGCACGGCTGTTCTCCGTTACAAGTACAAGTACAAGTACCTTCGCATCGTTGATCAAGCTGGTCATCTGCAGTACAACTGCTGACGGAGGTCTTGGATTGGCATGTCTGGGGAGTGCATCACACTGTGCATATTCTATGACCTTTTGTGAATAGAGGCAATGATTGGTGTAAGATGTGAGGAGTGAGACGATATCACATCCCTACAGCCAGCGCTCGCCTGCAGGATTCTACTGGCTGAAACCCCAGCATTTCGATCTGACGGGATTTCGTCCACAAAATTCCATGCGATACCCCTCTATGCACGTGTCCTGAATAGGAGATCCACGTGATTCGGTAATAGCAGTAATAGCAGTAATGGCAGCGTATTACTTCTCCGAGTCAGCTGTCTCTATTCGCCCACTTACACAGCCCGGGTGAGGCGTCGTTAATACTGGCTGACCACTCATTCTTCGGCGGGAGGGGGGAGGAACCAGTGGAAGGTTCGGGCAGCGAGTAACGGTGTATCTTTACTTCTACTAGTTACTAGTAGTATTCTTGTATCCTAGTCCTAGTAACAGAATAGAATAAAAGACTCACCGCCAGGTCAATTGCCACTGTATCTTTTATAACTATTCTTGTGTTATTCCGTTATTCCCTCAGCTTAGTCTCCATTCTTTCTCTGGATGAACGGCTGATCCCATGTCACTGCCTGTTCACTTCTATTTATTGATGTTTCTCCTTCATCCTGTCAATCTCCCTACCAATTCCTAAACACCCCCATACAGATACATGTCGTTATGGACATCGATCCCTACGCCGTTCTGGCTGTCCCTAAAGACGCCACCTTACCTGAAATCAAGTCGGCCCATCGGAAACTCGTGTTGAAATGCCATCCCGACAAAATCAAAGATGAATCCCTTCGCAACGAGGCCCAGGACCAATTTCAACGGGTTCAGCAGGCCTACGAATTGCTCTCCGATCCCTCCCGCAGAACCAAATATGACCAGAAGGTCCGCCTGGCCGAGTTGCGTCGCGAGATGAAGGACCAGCACCCATATGCCTCGCCCCGTGCTGGTGGCAATGTCCGTGAATATCGCGATGGTCGGATCTACGAAGAGCGCATGCCGGCTGATTATTTTGATGATGGATTCTACCATTCTCCCGATGAGAAGGCTTCCCGAGGCACGTCTCGCAAGCACGATGACTATGGTCGGAGGCCTCGTGCCGAAGAGAGAAGGAAACCCAGGCCGACGACCACCACCAGCAGTCCGTTCAATCCCTTCCGCGCCGCCAAAGAGGCGGCTGCTCGTGATAGTGCAAAGACGACCCATTCCACTCGGGACAAGTCCCGAACCAAGGAACGACGGCGGGAAGCTTACGAGAAATACGAAAATGTGTATGTCGACTCCGATGCCTCGGGTTATGACTCTGAGCCCTCGCGAATCTACGTGCGACCGTCGGAATCGAGGAAAGCGAGTCCAGACAAGCGGTCGGGTTCCTCTCCTCACAAGCCCAGAAGTAGCAGCACTCATCCTGCGACCGAATCGCGACGATTCCAGCCTGAGGTGGTGGAGGAGGAAGACGATGAAGACTCGGATCAATACGAGACCAAACACGACAAACTGCACACCACCGCTCGCGACTATATCATGCGCTCCAAAGGAAACGCGCCCATCGAGATCGACTCCCGTCAGCGTCCTTCCCGCTCGCCACAGCGACCGCGCGAGCACACTGAACCCCCAGCATCGGAATCAGCACGCTCAAGCGCAACTCCACGAGCCAAACATTCCAGTCGCGAAAGCGTGCGACCATCTTCGTCCCGGAATAGCTCGTACGAGCATCTGGAGCCGTCGACTGCCCATCCACCACCGCCACGGGCCCATTATGAGACTTTCAAGGTGCCCCCTATGCCCACCGCGGCCACATCACCAGCAGCGAAAGCCGCCTCGTCTGCAACTCGACCAACTCTGCAGCCCTCCCGGTCGGCTACCACAGCAGCCGCATACTCTCGTTCCACCTCGAAGCGTGATTCCGCCAATTTCCTCGTGAACATGGTCTACGCCGATGGCACCTCGCGATCATCCAGAGTCCGCAGCACAGACCGCTATGACTCGGGATACTCCAGCCCCGGCACCCCAGACATGCACGGTACCAGTCCACCCAAGACCTCAACCCGCTACAAGATCGTCACCGAACCAGAACCCCTCCGCGAGGTCCCGCCCACTCCACCAATGGCTTCGACTTCATCGCGCTACCAACGCGGCTACTCCCCACCTCGTGCTCACCCTCACGCTGCTCACGCTGCTCACTCCCACACTCACCCGCTCGCTACCCCAGAGCGCCCCTCTTTCTCCACGAGAGCAGCCGCAAAACCCATTCGAAGCCACACGACCTACGCGCCGGAATCGCGCGGCCCCCGGCCAATGTCCTCTGCTCCCCGTCCGTTATTCGGACAGAAGGATAAGCCAGACGTCAAGTACGCTCGTGAGTACGGGCCAGATGATGTGGTCTATACCGCGCGGGATCCGTACAATCATCCTCACGGCCCGTCTAGGGCTTATTCGTACGATGATTACCAGACGGCGTCGAGACGTCAATCGACGTATGCGTAGAGGTCGCCTCACCTATCAGAAACAGATCTAACGGTCCGACTACGATATCGGTCGTTTTTATACTTGCATGCATTTTCTCCTCTCTTTGCTTTGCATCGATTCGATTCTTTTGCATTGACTTTTCATTTCTTTTGTCTATATTCTTCCACACATTTACGATTTATCACACGCATATCTCCTACCACCTACCTACCCGCTCACTCTCACCTACCTAGAATGTTTATACGATCTACCTATCTTTGCATCGCATCTACCATCTACTTCACGATCCACTACCATCTATCGAATCTGGTTGGCGTTCGGTTCCATGATTGTCTTCTCTTCTCATTTCTTTTTCTTTTCATCTTTTTTTCTTTCCAATCTCTTTGATCTTACGAAACGAACAATTTGACTGACGATGGATTTATCACGATTAATGATATTTATGATATGATTTCTTTCTTATTTATCACCTCTTATCTTTATATATACCTACCTACCTATACCTTGCGTACCTATATCCTCACCTACATCTTATAACCCTAACCTATTCCATGACGTTCGATCCGGCGTTTCCATTCCGGGGCACGTACATACATACAGTATCCTACCGACTTGCGGGGCACAGACACGGGCCCGGATACGAGTACGGGCAACGCCCGGTTTCTCACGTCTCTTTATAAACGGAGTACTCTTTACGGCGAGGTACAGATATGTGCTATCGATTCGTAGGTAAGTTTTTAGTTACACTGCATGGTTGGTATTAACAACAGTTTCATTTCTTTGATGATTATATGCATGGGGGGCATGGGGAAGCGTTGGGACGGGCTTCTTGTCTGGTTGTACAGTACGGTCTGGAGTAGAGTACCTCGAGTATTTATGTACTCCGCTCATAGTTACCAAGGGGAGATATGCATAGCGATGCTGTATATTATTTATATCTATTTTGAAACCTTCGAAAAATAAATACATCAATCGAGTTATGTTTACCGTCTCAAGAATAGAAAAGAAAGAACAAGGGAAGTAACCAGGACAAGGGTATGTCATGTACCTAATCTAATATGTACGATGTATTACCAATCAGGGAATAAATAGACAAGACAGAAATAAAGAAATGCCGGAGCCTCGTGCCCCGTTATAATACGGATAAAAAAAAAAAAAAAAAAAACCCCTCCTTCCCAATTTGCTACTCGTAACGAGGATCATCTTTTTCTAAAAGATGGCGTGTCGTGGAGGTGACGGATCATGGATTAAAGATGTACGGAGTACCAGGGTAGATTAAAGAAAAGGAGGACAAAGGAAGAAAGTCAATCGAGTGCTCAGGGCTCACTCCAATCGACTTGGTCCGTCACCGGTTCCGATCCATCCTTTGCGTATGTGACTCGAAGACGAAGACGGAGTTTGGGTGGGAGTGCCTAGTATAGTTAGAATCAAATCAATCTCAAATGATGATGGAAGAAACATACCCCATTCAATGATGCAATCTTCATCACTTGCACACCTTCATCTCCAGCCCCAAGTTCTGCCTTGTTAATCGCACCCAGCTGCAACCGCTGGCTCTTCGGCACGGCAGCTTGCAACCCTACGCTAGAGAAACTGCTGACGTTCGAAGAGTTACGGAAACGGCCTTGGATATGTGCGTTGCCATTGCTGGCCCGTTGCACCTGCAATGCAAGCGACAGATCGTGCTTGTTGAATGCCGTGTGTGCTGGTGATGCCGCAGCTGCTGGCGGCGGCGTAGCGGTTGAACCCAGGCCACCCAGAATGTTCATCGAGGCGGATGCCGGCTCCGCTGGTTTAGGGGACGGGGTGGCGCCATTCGATCCGAACAGATCCATAATGGCACTGGTGTTGGTTGATGGGGTGGGCTGGGGTGCAGGCGACGAGACGCCAGAGTCCCCTCCGCCCAAGATATCCGCCAGCAGGTCTGCAGTGTTCTGCGTGCTTGTTGGCGTTGGGCCGGCGGACGCCGGAGCCTCGTTGCCGCTGATGAGGTCGAGCAGCAGATCCGAGTCTGCTGGCTTCGAAGGCTTCTTCGTCTTGTCCTTGAGGTGCTTGCTCTGGCGTTTCTTAGTCATAGGGCCCAATATCCTTTGCTCTTCCCGGATCTCTGGTGGAGGCATCCGTTCCAGGACACCGCGCCGGATCTGGTCATAGCCAAAGAGGTTGGTGTATTCAACCGCGCGTTGCTGGATTTCGGTGTCCAAATCCGCAGTCTTGCTGCTGAGGAACCGACGTAGGCGCTCAACCTGGGACGGATCCGTCATTCGCACCGTAAGCTTCATCGAAGCCGTAATGATGTACTCCACCACAGTCTGCGATGCAGAAGTGCTGTTGAGGATGTTGATGAAGAGATCTACAATGTCACTCTCCCGGACCTCCTTGACGAGTTCCTCCTCCTCATACTGCCCACCATGAAGCAAGTTGTCACCGTATTCACCAATCACCCACGCACCAGCAAGGATGAGACCCTCTTGCGAGATATCCTCCTTTAATGCCACATAAAGTTTCTGTGCACAGTAGGTCTGCAAGTCTGGGGTGGTAGCAACAAGACGAACAAAAGACGATAAAATCTGTTCCTTGACGTGGGCACCGGCGAGCTTAAGAACCCGGAGAATCGTGTCCACATGCCAGCGCTTGTTGGGTGCGAATCGGTCAGCGGCGACACCAATCTGGGAGGTCATCGAAGGCTTGAATTCGTTGTCGGCAACTTCCAGGAAAGCGAGCAGCTCCCGAACAAGAACACGCACGTTGCTCTCGTTGATCAGCATGAAACTGAGGTCGAGCGCCCGTCGTCTGATACTGATATCAGGATCACGTAGACACTCAAGAATCGTGTTACGATGTCTCTGCACGGCATTTGGTTCAATCGCCACCACCTTGTTTAGCGTGTTGAGAGCGACGTAGCGGATGTTGTTGTCCTTGTTGGCAAGGAATTTTCCGAGGATGTTGACACCCAACACTCTCAATCCCGAATCGGCTTCGATGTCGAGGATAACAAGGACGGCCTCATACAGAATTGCGTTTCCTACATTCTTGTTCGAGTCGGTATTGGTGGCCACCTGGGCCAGAATGTCGTTGATCATCTCGCTGGTCTCCGCATCGCCTCTCGCAACGACCCTTAAGAAACGTAGAATCTTCACCTGCAGGAATGGATCCGTAATCCCAGACACATCATGTTCAGGCGCGTAACCGGAAGTTGTTAACCCTTTCAGGGCGCGAACCAGAGCAGGGGCCAGGGGCCGGAACATCTCGATCACACCTTCTTGTCCTTCCTCAGCTTCTTCAGCTTCGCACATGTCGATGGCCAGCGTTAATCCGCACAGCAGAACACCGTGGTTTCGGTCCGAAAGGAGTGTTTTGGCTTTCTCGAAGAAGTTTTCCTGCAGATCTGGGACCTTGCGACAGATACGCATGGCACACAATGCGGCCTTTCTCCGGATGTAGGGGTTCGGGGTGGAAAGGAGGGACTCGACTTCGGTGAAAAGGTCTCTGGACATTTCGATTGAGGCGATATTACCCAAGGCGCAGAGGGCGAGTCCGACGATATACTGGTTCGAGTGGTTGAGATCACTGCGGATAACACGTCAGTCAATAGTTTCCCGGGTCCCCTCTCCATGGGTAGAGAATAAGCCATACTTTTTAAGCGAGTTGGTGACCAGCGTCAAAACTTCCTGGTTCTCATCCAACAACAGCATAGTTCCAAGATACCCCAGTCGCTTGTCGGCGAACCGATGGGACGCCAACAACTTCAGACATTCGATCTGACCAAAGTGGGTCCGCTCTCCGAGGGTGAATAGATAAAGAAGCTTAGCCACATTGTTTCTCCTGTTGAGACGCAAGTATGAGACGTTGTCCGGAATCCCAGTATAGAGGACAGGTGTCTGACCGTGTGCCCGAATCGTGACTTTCTTCCCTGAACGATGCACGAATCGCCGCGCTCTCTTTTTGGATCACCGCTCGTTCATCGGCGATAGTCTTGGCTGATCGAACATTTCGGATGAATTGCTTGACTGTTTGTATTCGTAGGTACCGGCCGGGTTAGCCATCGCATTGCGGGATAGGGACATGCAGTGTGGGGGACCGAGAAGGGGCTCCAGGGAAGCACTCACGGGATGACATGGCGGTCGCAGAGGGACCCCCAACGGGGTGACTGAGAGAAAAGGTATTAACAAGGAAATTCGAAATATAAGTTGAAATAAGAGGGAATGCAAAGAAGCCCGCCTGCGCAATCCCCGAACGCGGAATGAGAGATGAAGTCGATAGTTGTATACAGCTATTCTATTTACAGCCGCCAGCAACATGGCCCTCTCGGTCACGTGTGCCAATTGGGTGTCAGTCTTGGCACCGGTTGCGCTAGTCTTTTTGCAGCTTAGTGTCCTCATGCTGTAACAATCACGTGTATAACACGTGACATTTTGTTCCTGAGGCTTCAAGGCAGCTTACACCCATTTGGTAATACGAATACGAGCATCCAGCCCCATTGCTGTACAATACGAAGCTTATGGACACATGGCTTCGTTGCTGTCAATATATTTAGAGTAATCTCATGAAGAAATAGCTATATATCGAGTCTTCTATGCTATGTACTACTGTACTATGTATGCGGCGGCGATCGGGGGCCCGGTGACGTAGATCCACTCCTCCGTAACCTGTCATCCTGGCGTTTTCTTCTGCTTTCTGCAAGGACTGCTTATATATATACTCGAGAGTCATCTGCGTTTCCGGAGATCTCTCCAGATTCAATGTTAATCGAGTCTTCTTACTGTGTCCCGTGACTCCCTCTTCAGGATGTCGACCGCTATCGAACAAAAGAATGGCCATCTGATTGCGCGGCCGCGTGTGGTCGCATCCAAGGAGGACGATACACTCACTCCTTCCGTGGACCAAACAGCGTCGAATGCGAGGTATGATAGCTCTTACTACTATATCGGGGATGCTACGATATGTGTTCCAGCAAACTGACGTTCCACCCGTGAGCTACAGTGACCGTTCAACCCCTATCCCTGAAGATGCGCCCCCGTCCGCGCACTCGATATCAACAGCCAGAGCGCAAGTTCGAGCGCGCCGTCGCCTCTTCTATACAATTGACTATGTCCCTCGCGTGTCCCACTTCGACCCGCGAAGCGATTACCATAACTTCCGCGGGTTCTTCTCGCTGTTCTGGATTGCGCTGGCTATCATGGTCTTCACCACCGTTCTCCGGAATATCAAAGACACGGGTTACCCATTGAGAGTGCGGGTATGGAGTATTCTGTCGGCGAACGTCTGGGAGCTGGGTCTTAGCGACCTCGCGATGGTCGTGAGCAGCGGATTGGTCTTGCCGCTTCAGAAAGTTTTCAGGAGTCGGGGATGGCTGCGATGGCGCCGGGGTGGAATGGCCATACAGAGTATTTTTGAAGCTGCGTGGTTGGCTCTATGGATTAAGTAAGCTTACTTTGCCTTGGATGAGGGAATGGCAAACTGACTCTTGCAGCTGGCCGTTCATGCTGCGCTGGACCTGGACGGCGCAGGTCTTCTTCACCCTCCACACCTTAACCTTCCTCATGAAGATCCACTCCTATGCATTCTACAACGGACATCTGAGCGACATTGAGCGTCGTCTGTTCCTACTCGATAACCCCAAGGCCGCTCCGACGGACGGCGTGGATCAATACCCTCATGTCCACCAACCCTCGCAGAAGCATACTCACAAGCGATCCGGATCGATTCCAGAACTGCGTGAAGACTTAGCCATGGAACTCACCTCGCCTCTGGGCAGCGTCACATACCCCCAGAACCTGACCTTCACCAATTACCTCGACTACATATTCTGTCCCACGCTCTGCTACGAACTCGAATACCCCCGCAACCCCCGTCTCCGATGGTCAGAGCTAGCATTTAAAACGACAGCCGTTTTCGGATGCATCTTCCTGCTCACGCACACGAGCGAGGAGTTCATCGTGCCAGTACTCAGCGAAGCCAACGCCAACTTGCAGCTCGTCGAGAGCATCCCGGAGAAGGGCCTGGTTCTCGCGGAGACGATCAGCATGCTCTTGTTCCCGTTCTTGATCACCTTCTTGCTTGTTTTCCTGGTCATCTTTGAGTACTTGCTCGGCGCATTCGCGGAGATCACCAGATTCGCGGACCGTCACTTCTATTCTGACTGGTGGAATTCATGTGACTGGTAAGCCTCACCTCCCTCCTTCTATCCAGACTCATCCAAAGCGCAGCTTTATTAATTCATGATACAGGCTCGAATTCTCCCGCGAATGGAACGTCCCCGTCCACAACTTCCTCCGCCGCCATGTCTACTACCCATCGCGCTCGCACTTCTCCCAACCAGTCGCCATGCTCATAACCTTCCTCGTCAGCTCCCTCGCGCACGAATTAGTCATGAGCTGCATCACGAAGAAACTGCGCGGCTACGGATTCATCTCTATGATGCTTCAATTGCCGATTGTGACTGTGCAGAAGTCGAAATATTTCCGGGGGAAGACTACTCTTAACGTAAGTGACCTGCCCTATAGCAGCTTGGGGCTTGCTGACATGTTGATTGTGAAGAATACGTTCTTCTGGTTCTCGATGATCTTGGGTCTTTCGATGATGTGTGCGTTGTATGTTCTGGTTTAGGCTGGATGCTTGAGAAGTGGTTTGTTGTCTGTTTTCTTCATCGTTAGATGTGTTATCTTTCTGTGTTATTATTATTGCACATTGTGCTATATACCCCTTTTCGAATCATATTTAACATTCGATTCGTTTGCTTGATTGTATTACTATATTTGTATTTCCTTCTGTCTCATGTTGATTTATTCGACTCTTTCCTACCACTACAATATGAGCGTTGCGCTTAAATGTCTTGAATAGTATCGGAAGTTAACCATTCAATTCAATGAGGATCCCATGAACAGAAAACTATAGCAAGTTCCAATCCAAGGGTGTATGCACCGTCGACCATCCGCCGATATACCTCGAACCGGACGTTCTATAAAAACCAAAAATCAAAGTCACAATCCTAACAATAAACGCAGCGGGCATCATCAAAAAAGTCTCATAAGAACCAAAAAGCAGAAACCAAGAAACCAAAAGAACCAGTTACCAAAAAACAACGAACGACCGTACCATGCAATCCAACAGCCTAACCAAAATCAAACCCAATCAATCAAGCATGCTCTATCGGCTCCTCTGGTAGCACCAGAGCCTGTCTGTCCGATACGTTCCGTGGGAGACATGCTTTTAGAGGGGGTCGGACAATGTCATTAAACAAGAAAGTGCCGTAGACCAGCAAGGCGAATCCAGCGACTTGGAGCCATTTGAATGACTCCCAGCCTAGACCCAATGAGACGAGCCAGATGAATAGCGTACGGCAGGTGTCGATCGTGCTGCGGGAGGTGGCGGATACCGTACGGGTCACTGAGAGACCGAAGAAGTTGAAACCACTATGAAGAAAGATAGTTAGCTTAGGATCCTTGTAATACTCTGTTGTGAGGGGAACGTACAAAATGCTCAGCATAATGAAAAGACTGGAGAGGGCGACGTTGCGGTTAGAAAAAACCTCATGCCAGCCTTCCTTCGCATCAAAGTATCCATAGCGGCCCGCTGGCGTGCTTCCCACGGCCAGATACAAGATGATCGATGCGACAACCGTGACGGAGAATCCAAAAATACCCTCCCAGCCGACAACCTCGAGCGGGTCCATGGCATAGTTCTCCAAAACCCATTCTTCCAGGACGAACTGCGACGCCGTGAAGATTTGGGCGGTAGCGATGAGCAAGACACCAATGACTGCTTTAACCGTCTCAGGGGTCTGTGCGACAGCGCGGGCCTGCATCAACGCATGCGAAACAGCAGCGGTGGCATCCTCCTGGGGTACATCATGCGCGTCGTCACCAAACAGCGCACCGGAAAGACCGACCAACGCAACACCAAGGACGACCACGACCAGCGCAGTCCATTGGTACAGATATAACTTCCGACGAAGGAAGAGGACACTGAAAAGTCCGACGAAGAGCACCAATGCTCCACGAGTCATCTGATAGATACTAGCGGCAACAAAAAGCAAACCGACATTCATGAGCGTCGTACCCGCGATGTCACAGCATGCCGGCGCGGCGAGCAGAAAGATCTTGGTGCCCTTGAGCTTCACCCGCCCTTCCTCATCCACATCAGATGGTTTAGGGAGACGAGAAGCGCCATCGACATTATCAACCGTATTGTCCTCATCATCGTACCGGTCATCCGTGTCAACGGGGTTGTATCCACCGGCAAGAAGGGGCGATGCTCCGTTAGACAAACGGGGAGCTATATATCGACGATATACGTAGAATCCAAAAACGAAGATCCAGCTACCCGATTCTCCGATAAACATCTGAATTCTATTGCAGCACGTCATATCGTCAGTGCCTGTGCTCTCGATGCCCAGTATAGTATAGAAGGGGTAACCCGATAAGAACTCACGTTTGGATAACCGGTTGCTCAAAGGTCTTGCGTTCTCTGGGATCCAGCGAGTCGCAATTCCGAACACATTGCATATCCTTTATTGATCAGATTGTGTTAGCAAGAGTAAGTGATATGGGGGCCGAAGGTAGATGGCGGTCTGGGACCAACCTGGAACTTGTTCAGAATGGTATTGCAAACCCCGGTCACTAGCATCATCGTGACCAGGAACGGGATGACTAGATGGTCTCTAGCCATTTTGGGCGATAGATGAATAAGATATGATTCCAAAAAAGTGTCGTAGTAGGGAACTCGGAGACGACCAAGCTAGATCGTACGTAGCCGAACTCCGGATGCAAGCTGATTCGGTATTCCTTTCTTAATTCAAGACAAGTATTATTGTTAGTTAAAATAGAAGTAAGCCGGTTATTGACCACCCATGCCGGACAAAGGGAGCAATGAATGAGTGGATGGGTGGATGAGGAGAGGAGAGGAGAGATAGAGAGGATGGCACAAAGCACGGAGATGATCACGAGAGGCTGATTTGGGGACCTTATCAGCTGCATCTGATATCATTTCCTGATCGGGATTAGCGTCCGGTGCTGACCATACGGTAATGCGGAGGACGGTACGTTACAGTACAATACCAGAAACCACAGAGAATCATTTTTGTTCGCATTGTAAACGCTCGATGTTTTATTCAAAAACCCGGGAAGAATGGCCAGGTTGCCCAGTGATATCCTGCAAACAAACATAATGTACACGAACATTCATATTTACGCCAAAAGAACTCAAACAAACCACACGCCATCTGCTTTGCTTTGAAATCATTAAACCCTCGTAAATAAGTATATGGGGGGGGGAATGAAAAAAATGAAAAAAAAGAAAGAAAGAAAATGAAAAGAATAATAAAAATGCGCCATCAATTTACATGGCATAGATGGCTATCCCCGTATCATCATTAAGATCAGCCTCTTTCCGGTCAATGGATTCCCAATCGAAATCGCTGGGTTCATTGAGCATGAAACCGTCGTCAAACCGGCTAGGCAAGTATACCCAGTCCGCTGGGATCCAGTTCTCTTCCGGATCACTTCCAATTTTAACGTTCATCTCCTCATCCTTAGAGAGCTCGCCATCCTTCGGGGTTTGTGTGCCGGCGCCTGTCTCCACCGATTCTGGCGTATCCTTGGACTGAGCAGTGGTGAACATTTCAGAATTAAGGAACTCGTCCATCGGATCGACTCCTAGCCCGGGCAGGCCCTCATTGCCAAAGTCCATGAATGCGTCGTGGATCGCCTCAAGAGAAATCGTACTGTCCGCCCAAGGATCCTTGGCTGTTGTGTCCATGCCAGATGGCTCAACTTTAGCAGCTTCTTTCTTGGCTTCCTTGCTGACAGTGGATTTCATGGCGGCGGCGGCAGCGGTTGGCACCTTGCCTGAAGACGGTCGAGGAGTCATCTGTTGGTTCGATGCAGGTGAGGCGGACTTGAGCCCGATATGGCTGGGCACGCGGCCCATAGGAGTCGTGCCAGTAGTGACCGGTGTCACTCCCTCGGGTTTCACTTCATGTCTGCCAGGCGCCGTTGGAGCTTCCGCAGTAACACCCTTCTTAGGTTCCGGCTTCTCTTCTTTGACCAGGCTACTCCGCATGCTTTCGATAGCAAACTGGAGCGGATCCTCGATATTCTCCTCGGCTTTGTGGTTTTCCTCAATGTGCTTGTCTAATGCGGACTGGGACGCAAAGCCATGGTAGTGATGCTGGCATTCGGGGACACTGCACCTGAAGGCCGCTGAAGCCGTAGGTTTGCCCATTGGCGTCTTTGCGCTCGCGGTTCCGGGGGTTGGAACCTGCCCAGAAGTAACACCAGCGTGTGAATGCTTTCGCCTCTTCGCGGGAGGAAGCTTCAACTTCTCGGGGGGCATGCTGCCAGGACCGTAGGCGTGAGGAACCCCTTGAGGAGATGGCGCCCCAAATGGAGCCGGCGGCACACCAGGAGCGATCCCTGACGTAGTCTGGCTTGAAGCCCGCCGTGCTCGCTGGAGTGCCTCCTCTTGTTGTTGAAGTTGCTGCAGGTTGCTCGCATTCAGAGCTGGCATATTGTTTTGGATGGCTGGTGGCACTGTCGGAGCCGGACCTTGAGGCATATTTGGCCGCATACCTGCAGGCTGGTGCTGTTGCTGGAGGTTTACACGTTGGATCATGGCAGTGAAAAGTTTCCTTATGTAACCGATACAACCAGTTAACCGTTCGGGCGACAGAGTGAGTTCATCATTCAACGTCCATTCCGGGACTTGTTTGAACTGTCTCAACAGTTGTATACGCTGTGATTCAAAGTGTCAGAAAACATGGTTCCAGTTGCAAAGAGGGAAAGAGAACAGGAGAAGGAAGGAAGGCGCGGGGGACAGGAAGGCTTTGAGTGTACAACACAAAAAAAAAAGACTCACCATCCCAAGCAAGCTCCTCACGTTCTTGTCCTGATTAGGAACCTTTGCAAACCACTGTACCAGCGTATCCATCCTACTAAGCATATCTATGCAGTCGCGAAGCTGTTGGCTCATTATGGCTTTCTGCTCTGGTGGGAGCGGGATAGGATCTCCAAAGGGCACAGTCCTGGAGATGTCGTTGTACAGTCGTTTGATATGTTCGGGCAAGTTGTTCCATGCTTCCTCCGCAGCAGCTCGATTGATCGGAGTGCGATTCTGGTTCTGTTGTCTTCGAATGTAAGCTTCCGCTTGTTCGCGCTGATGAGGCGCCATCGCAGCCAACTGCTCACGCGTGAGGTTGAGGTTGGGTCGAGGAGCACCAGGCACCGATGGAACTTGTGGGGCGGCAGTTTGGGCGGGCATCAGGCCTGGGGGGTTCTGGCCTTCCAGTGACTCTTCTGCGTTCGATTTTCTCTTTGGCGGCTGTTTCGCAGCAGGCCCCTTTGTTGGCCCTTTGCCGGGCGTTGCATTCTGCGCCTTTGCAGCCTGCGCTTGCTGGTTTGCTTGCGGCGTTTGCTGTGCAGGTTGAGGCTGCGGCTTTGCTTGCGGCGTACCCTGTGGTGCAATAGCTGGTGGTTGCTGGATTGGCTGGGCTGGCTGGGCTAGCTGGCCTTGGTTGACATTCTGTCCTGCGAAACCTTGCATTGCTCGGGCACGGGTAGCCTGCAATTTATTGAGCCGGTTCCTAAACAGCACATCCCGAAGCTGTTCATCGGTATAATTTTGTACCTGAGCACCCAAGCGGTGACGCGCCATCTGGACCTCCTGGGGAGTCACCGGTGGTATTGACATGGGCAATTGGCCTTGTGGACCCCCTGGGAAATGCTGTTCGTATTGATTTCGACCCGATGCTGGTATTGCTGCTCCATGACCTTGACCCGCTTGATCAGGATTCCGACCATTTCTTTTCCCATGAGCCACAATCTGCGCCAGGTGATACTTTTGGAAAGCAATCAATTTGTTTGGATCTACTCCTCCCATGACTTGAGGATTTTCAGCGGCCCACTGTTTCAGCTGTCCCCAAGTCTTGACGTGTTTCGGGATGGGTGAAGTTTGACTATTGCCGATCAGCGCTGGTGGGAAAGGTAGACCGTCCATTTCCTTAATCTGATCGGGTGTCATTTCCAGCCCACTACTTTGATGACGCAGAAGATGGATCTGGTAAAGCTGCTGACGTTGCTGCTGTTGCTGCTGTTGGGCAGACATTTGCTGTGACATCTGATTCTGCATCTGTCCCCCGCCCATATTGGGAAGCTGCTGCTGGAGGCCGAGGGATGCCCGGAGACCCTGGTTATTGTCCATCTGGCTATTGGCCATCGGTTGGCCTTGCCCGGGTTGTGACAGGCTTTGTTGCATGGATACGGGTTGTTGCAGTGCAGCATTAGCCTGGGCGAGTGCCTGATTGTTTTGATGGGCACGGCGTCGCTGCGCATTGAGAAAAGCATTAAGTTGATCCGGAGTCATTCGCGCTAGTTGTGCCTGAACCTGGGGGGGAAGATTCGCGGGTATCTGGGCCCGACCTTGAATCCCGGGCTGCCCAGGGAGGGACTGGACACCAGCAGGATGCTGTCCCATGCTCTGAGGTCGCGAGGGAGGCCGGGCCTGGGCAGCTACCTGCGTCGGAGACATTTGCCCTGGGGGCATGGGACGATTCAACATCGGCATTGCAGGACTCTGCTGAGCAATCTGTTGCTGAAGTTGAGGATTCCCTTGACCTGCTTGGGCCATGGCCATTTGGGCCTTTTGGGCCGCTTGCATGCGAGCTGCTTGCGCCTGGGCCTGGGCTTGCGCCTGGGCCTGGGCACGGGATGGTGTCGCATGTTGAGATCTGTCTTGTTGGGCCGCTTGAGGATTCTGCAATTGCGATTGAGGTAGGAACTGTGGGCTGATACCGGCCCCGTTCATACCGGGTTGGCCCCCTTGGTCGAGCGGTTGTCCAGGCTGGTACACATTGTGGGGCGTCGGGAACGGTGGCTGGTTCATCTGAGAGGAACTGGCGGGTACCACGAGCTGGCCTGCCTCCTGAGAACGCAACCCGTCCGCCTGCTGACCTTGAATGTTCTCCACATTGCCAATGAACGAAGAAGGGTCCAAGCCAGGTTGAGCATGGCCGGGAAACGTCGAATTGCGTTGAAGATTCATCATACTTTGATACACTTGGCGCTGTTGCGCGGTCATCGGATCGCCAACCATGGGATTGTTGGCAGCATTTGGTCCATGAGCCATGTTTCGTTGTTTATGCCTCCGCAGGTTGTTCACGGCCTGGCAGCGGAAGAAATAGCTTAACGGATCCATCTGCTTTTTCGCAATGAACTGTTTTTGTTCAGGCGTCATGTTTTGCAGATTCAATTTGATCTTTTCTATTTCTTCCGGGGACGTCATCGACATGATTTGCTGGGCATGTCGACGAACTTGTTCATGTTCCTGAGGCGACAGCGAGCCGAGATCGTCGGGTAACGAGACGTTGGCCCCTGGTCGTTGCGCCCGCTGCGGCTGTTGCGGTTGTGGTTGCGGTTGCGACTGCGACTGCTGCTGTTGCAGCATGGCCTGTGATTGCTGTTGACGTTGCTGTTGCTGCTGTTGCTGTAGGGCAGCCCGGTGATTGGGGTCGTTTATTCCCATTGACACTTGTTCCGGGTTAGGAATAGGAGATGCTTGCATGGGTCGGTTCATCTGGGGAGGCATTGACCCCGGAACTTGATTTTGCCCAACACCGGGAGGCATTATCCCATTCTGCATGACAGCGGCCTGTCTGGCACGGGTGTCACGAATATGAGCGAGCTTTTCGTTACACGCTTTATCGTACTCGGCCTAAACAAAGGGAAGGGATGTTAGGATGCTGAATGTAACACAAGAGCGGACGAGAAACGTACCCTTTGGTTGGCCTCTCTTAGTGCTTTCTGCTCAAAAGTCAAGGCAGCGTGGGCAGCTTGGGCTACGTTTATTTGTGGTTGGAGTAGTCGAAGGGAAGATAAACTGGGCGGTAAAAAATTAGCATCAGAAGTCTCGCTTAGAGCGGCAGAAGCCATTACTCACATCTGAAAGACTTTAATGGCCCGCTCCTGTACCCTGACCTCTGCTTTCCATCCGGAAAAGGGAGCCTGAGCTTGCAATGCTTTGACGGCATGGTTGAAAATGACTGCATTCTCATTGTTTGGCATCTGCGGGTTGGCTCCGCCGGGCATGGCCCCGCCAACGTTGGAGAAGTTTGCGGGATTCATGTCAGCTACCCCGTCAATGGGGGATCCAGGAGCAATCCGCGAGAGTCGTCTTCGGACGTCAGCATTCGCTGGGGAGCGCCAACCCTCACACCATATATTAACCTGTCAAACGGGAAACCGAAAGGAAGAAAAGCGCCGACAGTACTTCTTTTCTTCCGGGAGGATACGTATACGGTTCAACGATGGTAGACGAACGGAGGCGAGACGATTTGCGAAGGAAGATGCGAATGGGAACGAGAGAAAAACAAATGATGAAGAAGTTCGAGGTCGATCGCGGGTGGGACTCGTGGGACTCGGATCGGCGACGGAAACTCGTCGTCGCAGTTATGATATATCACGGACAGATGACAGCACGAGACACGAAAGGCCAACACAGCAGGGAAGCGTTTCGGGCACCAGTTGTCGGTCGAATCCGTGGGGGTGTGCGTGTATTGGAGGTATGCGTGTGCGTGGGAAAGGCCGTGAGTCGCGCGAAGGCCAAAGTCAGATCAATGAATGACAGGGATGTTGCGGTAGACGTAGGAGAGAGGAAGCTGAGAGTAACGAAGACGGGCGCTGGGGATCGCAGGAAAAGAGTCGTCGTGAAAGTAATAATAGTCGAGTAAAAATCGAACGAAAATGAGCAGGAGAAATGGCGATTATAGGGAAGTGAAGCCCGACACTAGAAAAAGGCTGATTGCCGCCCACGTTTCACTGGGAGAGTACAAGGAGAGCGGACGGTCGGGGAGAGGGTGTAGCAAGAACACCGTCGAAGCACTCTTGAGGCTTTTAAGATAGAGCTACTCGAGTAAGAATAATTGAGAGAAAAAGAATTAAGAATAGGAAAAAGATGAGAGAAAGAGAGAGAAAGAGAAGAGACGAAATAGAGAAAAGAGGTCAAAGTGAGAGTGAGAGACGGAAGAGGATGTGCAGAAGCAGCAGATCAACGGGCAACGAAGGAAGAGGAGGATCACACACAACACTCTGTTAATGCCACTGCGTCCAGTCAGACGACAGACAGCGAGAGTGAGATGAGAGTAAGAGAAGAATAAGGGAGGGAGAGAGGGAAGAGGAGGAAGAGGAAGGACAGAGAGAGAGAGCGAGGGACACCAGTCTGGCGGTAGTGGTCAAGACGTCGATTGGTGGCCCAAAAGGAAAAAAAACAAGCTGCCAATAGGTACAACAACAATGAATCCAAGTACTTGTGCCAGTTAGAAGAGAAGATAATCAGATGCAAGGTGCTGTCAATATATTATTCTAGTCAAACTATGGACTTGAGTTTATTTTAGATGTCTAGTACTAGTAGTAGTGGTGGTATACAAATACTCTCTACAAACGATCGACTGCCAGGTACAACTTACCGTACATTAGTTACATAGGACTGACTGTTTCCATCGTCAAGGCCCAATTTCCCGCGCTTCCATTTTTGGTTGCATCAGGTGATTCCACGTGACTTGCTGGCGTCACCTTTTCCGGAGGAAGGCTGAGAGAGCCTCATCCGTCTCTATACCACGGCACGCGACCTCCTGAACATCTCTTATACTTTCTCTCTCTCTCTCTCTCTCTCTATACAGCGCATGGGGATACTCTACATTTCTGTATCCTCGCCAGTCTTTCGTTCAATACTACTACTATCCGTTGCACACCTCTCGCTCGTCATGATCAATTGCGATTACTACTACGACTACTATCCGGCTTAATCGCAATAATGTCGTTTCAACCTCGCTCTTCTTCCATTATGATGTCTGTCGCTTCGTCCATTCCTGTGGGCTCCAGCGTCTTTTTTTCTTTGGCTTTATTTGCTATTTGTATTCTCGTCTTGTTACTCTTGCGGCGCTTTCTTACTCTCCGCGCCACTCCGGCTTATCTCTCCGTCCCCGTATTTCTGGCCCTCGCACTGCCCGCCAGCGTTGTACTGCTAGTGCCGATTGATCTCGCTTCCAGCTCACGCGATGATGATACCGGTCCTAAAGCGATATGGCTTCCTGATCGGGTGGTTCTGGTATCCTGGAGGATAGCCTACTGGCTGATCTTTGTTCTGACTTGGTTTGTACCACCTTATGCAAGTGCTTTGCATTAGTACCGAAGTCGCAGGAGCTAATCATGTGTGAATTTCCACAGGGCTATTCTACCTTTGCTTGGCGAATATATCGATTCCGGATACCGCGAACCTAAAGGCCGTCTTTTGTACTCTATTCGCTCCAATGCCCGCTATCAGCTGATAGTTTTATGCTGTGCGACCGTGGGGTTGGTCTACGTGTCTATCCAGAATGGCTTCGATTTCACCTCGATTAAAGGGCTTGTCATGGCTCTTGCATATGTGTGGGGTCTCGTCCTGGCCATTTATCTGATGGGACATGGTTTGGTGTCGATTCCACGCACTCTGTTCCGAAATGCCAATGTCAGCAGCCGCTTGCGGAGGATCCAAGCCCATGCCCCGCGGGTCCATGACCGTCTGATGGATGCCGTCAATGACTTGGAGGTATTGGAATCTCAGGTCGCACAGCTGCAGAGTCGTAAGACGGGCACCGCACGAGACTTTCAGGAATGGATTGAAGAGTTGCCAGAGGGGTCCAGTCCATCGGAACCGCGGGCGGCATTCCACGAGGCCGCAGACCGTTCTGCCACCGTCCCCGCAGTCATCACGGAGCGCTATCTGGCGAATCTGACCCGACGTCTCCAGCGCGCTCGACACCAAAAGGCTCGGTTTATGGATGAATGGGATCGCTTGGTGGTGTCAGCGGCCGACGTCCAGGCAATTATCAACTCTTCTGCATCAGCGAAGCTGGAGTTTGCTGAGTTCCCGCGTCGCTCCTCAATCCTGTCCGGCGTGACGATCCTGACGCCCTACCTGCGTTACCATCTCTATGTGCATGTCATCCCGAACTTCCGGCTGCTTCTGGGGGCGCTCTGCTCTGCTGCATCGGTCTGCATCATCTGGTCGGAATTGTTCAAATCGTTGCTCCCACGGTTGTCCGTGGTCAGTCTGATGGTGACCCACAACCGACAGGACCCGAAACCGGTCGGCTTCTGGGGACAGGTCACCGCATCTGCTTGGCTGCTGTACATGTGCTCGGCCGCTCTGGTCGGGGTGAGTGATGCAAAGGTCTGGGGCAACCGTGCCTTGGTGCGTCGCAACACCTATGGGGAGAGTGCATGCTGGTACGCTGGATTGGTCGCGCGGCTTACGGTGCCCATTGCCTATAACTTTCTGACCCTGTTACCTGAAAACACGCGGCGACATACCACATTCTACCTGTTCCTCGGTCGGCTCATTGATTTGACCCCGCTCGGAAAGGGATTCGATTATTTCTTCCCTGTTTTCATCCTGCTTCCAGTTTGCGCCACTTTGTTCAACTTCTACGGTCGAGTAAAGAATATCTGTGGACTGGGACTGGCCGAAGAGGAGACGGAAGATCTAGAAAACAACCCCAGCGGCTATGGCGTCGGTGGCTGGAGAGAGGGTCGCGAGTTGATCGACCGCGAATTGAGCGGTATAGGATCACTGGCCCTCAGCACGCGAGGCGGTCGGTCGAACTGGCAACCAAACCGGGGCGAAGGCCTCTCACGCGCCTTTTCTTCTTCTTCCACCTCCTCGCGAGCTGCACCAGCGGAAGGATCGCGATCGTCCCGAGCCGCCCGGGGCCCGATGTCTGCTGCGATTAACGAGGAAGACGAGGATGAAGAGAACTTTTTCCAGGCGTTTGCGCATCGGGTAAAGAATACATGGGATACCACTAGTACGCCGCAGTGGTTCCAGGGAGAACCGTTCCGACTGCCACGGTGGATGACCGGTAACGAAAATGGTGGTAATAATGGGAATGGGGTCACTACTGGGTTGTTAAGTGGACGACATAATAACGGTAATGTCAGGCTTTAATCCTGCTTTTTGCTCTTTTTGCTCTTTTTGCTCTTTTTGCTCTTTTTGCTCTTTGCATGGCGAAGGCGTTCATGGTTTAGATAGGGTTGCTGGTATATAAATGGACCTGTTGCTGCCTATGTTACCTGCACGTACTATGTAGCCAATACAACACAAAACACTGCATAAACACAACCTCGTGACAACCCTTCAATTCGCATTTACAATCTGACAAATACCTAATCCATTCTCATTACCAATGCCAATAAATCTCGATACCCCAGGCATCATCGGCACTGGCAGCGGCAGAAAACTCCCAAAAACGCCTTTCCGCCTCTAGTCTGCCTTGTAGCCAACTATCCTCATCCTTTCTCACCTTCTGCCTATTCAATCCCGCCTATAAAAGGAACATATGACCCTGCTATCAGCAGAGGCAGAAGCACAGGCACAGGCACAGTCCACCGGGTCCTGGGGCTATTACCACTATCTGGAAACAATCGCCGGAAACATCAACGCGCACATCCCTATTTCGTTCCGCCACCGACTCGTATCGGCGATTCTGAAGCTCGATTCGTCCGTTAAACAGCGCTTGGATTGGTTGGGTCTTGACCTCGATTATAACAAATACAACAGCACTACGGTTACTGCTGTTATTCTTTGTGTCACGGCGACGGTCGTTTTTGCGATAAGTATTGCGGCTATCATCATGAGTGGCGGGAACTGGCGCAATCCGTTTAATAGGAGCTTTTGGAGTCGCACTCCCTCCTACGGCCCTGGTGGTGATGGGGCGCCACATGTGAGCGATAATGACTACAGTTACGTTACTGGTGGTGACATCGCACATGGACACGGTCATGACTATCCGCAATCGAGACCTGTCCATGCGGACGACGGACCCGATATTATCTTCCTCAAGCACCACAAGTACAAATATACGTTGGAGTTCCCCGCGTATGCGATGAGCGATGGCGCGCTGAGTGTGGGACAGCTACGGCAGCGTGCGGCGGAGGTGACGCGCACGCCGGATCCGCAGCGCATCAAGCTGCTTTACAAGGGGAAGTTGTTGGATGAGGATTGGGTGCAGTGCAGGGCGGAGGGTATGAAGCAGGAGTCGGAGGTGTTGTGTGTGGTGTCTGAGGTGGAGCCCGGGGAGAGCTCGGAGGGGGAGACCATGGATGTCCATGTCCCTGTTCAGAGGACTGGGACTGAGATGAGTGCGATGTCTGAGGGTGGACAGGGAGGCAGGAAGAGGAATCGGGGTAAGAGGGGAAGGAAGGGCAAGAATAAGAAGGAGACTCCTGTTGAACCGACCCTTTCGCAGCCGCCGGCTCCGCAGCCACAGGCGCATCCTCAGCCATTGAAACCAGCTATATCCACCAGCGCTTCGTCTCTCCCCGCGCCGGCTCCGAATCTGAACAGCTTCCACGCGCCGGCCGATAAAGTCAACGCGCTGGCAACCTACTTCCACGCCGAACTCCTACCCCCGTCCGAGGCGTATATCGCGTCACCACCGAGCGAGCCCAAGTACCGCGACTTCGAACACAAGAAGCTCACCGAGACCATCATGGCGCAGGTGCTGCTGAAGGCGGATTCGATCGATCATGAGGGAGACCAGGAAGTGCGGGGTGCGCGTAAGGCGTTGGTTAATGAGGCACAGGAGACGTCGCGTCGGTTGGATCAGGCTGCTAAAGCGTGATTGCTTTTATGTCGGTTTTGCTGGGTTTGCTTGTATATAAGGTTGTTGGATTTGGTATGGGATTGTCATAGATAGTGTTTAGTATAAGGCTGGAATGTAGAGGCGTTTAGATATCATGAAATACACATCTGCTAATCTGCTGGATATTTATGGTGTCCTCGATAACCTCAGGGGAACGGCTTGCACGGTCCAAATTAACGTTATCGAGAACAACCAGTCAAGAACCTTCTCAGTGTTCAGATGAAAAAGTCAATTGATAATAGATCAGGTGTCAGTTCAGCTCCTCAGAGCAAAATGTGAGAGATCACAGCACATGGGATGGTCTGTGTCAATTCATTCATTCATTGTCTATAATACTCTGTATAGTGGTTGCTTTTTCTTGTTCCTACTATGGATCTGGACTACTCAACGGTCGATTCCCCCTAAACTCGAACTAACACGACCACTCTTTAATTACCACTGGCGTCCTTCTCACCCGGTTCCTTTTTTCTTTCAAATTTTCTTTTGCATTTTCTCGCGTGCGCGTCTACCTTTTCTTGCTGTCTCAGAGCATACATCGAGGATCACTGTTTCTTCTACCAGCCACTGATCTAGCCTCGCGGGTGTAGAGTTCGCCGCTCCCCCCTCTCTTTTTCCCCTGGTCCTCTCTTCTCCATCTCCATCTCCATTTTTCTTCCCATCTTTCTCTACTCTTCGGAGTACTCTATTAATCTACCCATTATCATCTTTTTTTTTTTTTTATATACTCTACTATCCTTATAATCCATCTATTCACTTCTCTAATCTATCTCTCGATTGGTAAGCCTTATCCAAGGTACCTTCCTCTCCGGTTCCGCACCCTGAACCAGTATCCAGAAGCTCAGCTATTGACTATTTACTCTTCCCGCCAGTAGTTCCCCTTTTGCGCCGAGATTCCTCCTCTCCTCTGCCCTCGGTTTCTTGTCTCGTCTAAATTCTCCTTGATCTTTTCCTACTGTTCTTCTTCCTCTTCTCTCCTTACGAGTCGGAGTACAAACCCGCCCGCGCTTGTCCGACCCGGCCTGGTCTGCCGCCGTCCGCTATCGTTCATTCTCTTCTTTTCTTTTCTTTTTTTTTTTTATTTTTTTTATCAATTTCTTTCATTTCCTTCTTTCTCCCTGGAATGGCCCTGTCCAGCTAGCAAATATATTGGTCAGGTGGTCTTCTCATTATATTTCCCTGTCTATTCCTGGTCACAATTGGTGTTACGGGTTCAGCTGGTCTGGCCTCTTTTCTCTCTTTTCTCTAATTTACCCCTAAAAAAAGCAAAAAAAAGGATAAAAAAGATACTAGTGGAATGGCAACCACCGCTGCTTATTCCGCTGATATTCTAATGCCATCTGGCGGTGTGAACGGGGGCCAGGCACAATGGGACTATTCCGTTCCTGTCCGAGAAGACGTACGTCCCCTGTCCCTGTTTTTTTCTTGCTAAACCCAAGCAAACTGACGATCAGCAGAGCTTTAACCGCCGCTCCAAGTCCCGTACCTCCCATGATTCCCACCGAAAGTCCCGCGACCGCAATTCCAAGGAGTCCCGGAGCTCCTCCATGTCCAGACAGCCGTATATGCAGGAGTCGAATTATAATAGAAACTCCAGTCGTGGACGACGTGATCACAGCCGTGGACGTGGAAGTGAGGCGGGAAGCTCCAAAGGTGTCTATGGTCATGAGTCGGGGAGCCGGAGCGTCGGGAATGTGAGAGAGTCGACCAGTGGGGCTCCTCATGGCCTTACTGAGGAGGCCAAGTGGATTCATCGTGATAAGCTGGCCAAGATTGAAAGCGAGGAACTACACCAGGCCGCTCTTCTCTTCCATCGTCGTCCAGGCATCGAGACCAAGTCCTCTCGTGGGAGGAGTCAGGCGACACGCCAACGTGGTATCAGTGAGTCGTCTGAGACCGAGCCGACGGAGCACAACGAACCCTGGCCGAATATGAGCGAGGAGCAGCGGGAGTACATTAACGAATCTCCTAAGTCTTTCGAAGTCAATGGCGCAGCCACTGGCCCGCACGATGAGCGCAAGACCTGGGACCTTCGCAAGCCTGAAGAGATCGCCGAGGAAGCAATTGACGATGGTGCATCCAGCGTATACCGTAATCCCCATCTTCGCAAGAGCTCCTCCCGTATTCCCATTCCCAGGACTACTACCGCGCCTAACTTGCCCACCGAAGCACGCTCCCGAGCCCAGACCATGGGAGATGATGTCGACGCCTCTTCCCCCTCCAGGCCGCGTCGAGCTAGCGAGCCGATGACCATAGACGATTTTACACCCACGCCGAATGGAAGCAGACCCAACAGCCGGGGTGCCAACGCAACCATGCAGAGCGCTGGAGGCAGGAGACCGGCAGCTAAGAGTACTCAGGGGTCTACCAACCGCAAGACCTCGGCACCTGCAACGTCGAGAAAGACCACCAAGTCACGTACGACGTCGACAGCCAACGGCACGAGACCAACCGCCAGAGGCGACACCCGGCCCACGACGGCAGTGAATCGTCCCGAGGGCGATCCGCCATGGTTGGCGACCATGTACAAGCCGGATCCGCGTCTGCCTCCGGACCAGCAGATCATCCCCACGCATGCGCGCCAGATGATGCAACAGCAGTGGGAGAAGGAGGGTAAAACACCCACTACATACGATCGCGGATTCGCTCCATTGGCTATTGCTAGTGACGCTCCTCCTTCGAACAACAATAATGATAATAATGAGAAAACCGAGGAGCCACCAAAGGAAGAACAAATGCAGGAGAAATCAGAGAAGCCAGAGACAGAAGGAAATGGCACCTGGCCGCTCTCGCCATCCAAGAGCCCCGACCCGATATCTCCCAGTACAGGCACCGGGTACAGTCCGATGCCCAGGGTGCAAGATCCGCCTCCAGCGGCCTTGACGCCCAAATGGAGTCCACCCGTTGTGACTGCACAGGAGCCACCACCTCCGAAGGAGAAGAAGGGAGGCTGTGGCTGCTGTGTCGTTATGTAAAAGTTTTCATCCCTTCTTGTTTCCATCTTCTGCACCTCGAGTTTTGCGATTTCATTCCTTTGAAGATACCTCATTTTCTTTTTCACTTGTTCTTCAGCGATTATGGTAGGGTTGGTCGGTGTTTTGCTTGACATCCTTCATTTTTCTTTACATCTTTTGACATCTTCTCTTCCCTGACATCTATTTAATCCGTCCTTTTTGAATCTACACCAGCGAAACATCGCTAGCACAGTGCGTCGTCTTGCTGGTTCTTTTTTCCGATCGATCCTTTCACTCGTACCCATCTTGTTGTCAACTTGTTCTCTTGCATTCCGGTACTATATTTGTTGCATGTTTTCGGCTATGGTTCGAATGGTTATATAGTGCACAGTCAATACATTCATGTACTCCGTAGTAAATATCGCCATCTTTACTTTCTAGCAAGGTACACAACTCGCATGGAAACAAGAGCCGCATGACATGACATAAGCAACCCAAAGCCAGCACGTAACCCAACCTTGACATCACCGTATCTCCCACCAACCAACCACCAACCCCTCACCCCTCATACAAACAAAGAGCCCCCTTTTCTTTTACCTCTATATAAACAACGGAGATCCCATCTCCTGTCAATCGCCCACCATCACTTCCCTATTCACCCGACTCTTCGGCACGTTTGCCGCTCCTTCGCCCGCCGCTATGTCCGCTGCTAAGACTAAGGCTCAGAGCCTGATTAATGAGAACGCTGTTGGTGAGTGGCCGCCCTGCCTCGGCATTGAAGATTGCGTGTGCATGTACATTTGCGTGTGCTAATAAGTTATGGTGATGAAGTGGTCTTCTCGAAATCCTACTGCCCCTACTGCAACGCCACTAAGAGCCTCCTCAGCGACCTCGGTGCTAAGTACGAGGCTGTTGAGTTGGATCTGATCGGTACGTTCCTGTCCCTCCCTCCCCTACCTTCCCCAAATCTACTAGTACTATAAAGAGAGAACGAAGCTAATGAAAGGCGGCGCAGAGGGCGGAAGCGACATCCAGACCGCTCTGCAGGATATCTCGAACCAGAGGACCGTGCCCAACGTGTTCATTCAGCAGAAGCACATTGGTGGTAACTCGGACCTGCAGGGTAAGAAGGGTGAACTGCCGGGTTTGTTGAAGGCTGCCGGTGCTCTTTAAACTCGTTTGAGAGTTGAGTATATTGGATATATGGAATACATGACTTGAAGATAGAATTGAGTGCTTAGTAGAATACAGTCAGTACAGAGTAAAACAAGAGCAAAGAGGTTATACAATCTTCTGAACAACGGTCCCAACCGGCCTCTCCACAATCCCCATAACACCATCAACCACACTCCGTCGCGCAGCATCACTAGACACATTCTTCCCCGCGAGATAATTCAACCACACCAACCGACTGATTCTCTCATCACCAACCCGTCCCAACCAAGCAACCGGCTTCCCTGCCCCAGGCCGGAACAACGCATCAAGTTCCCCGCGCGAACTCCTTGTCAGAACCAGTATCTGTCCCTTCGGTACACTCTTCCGCTGTCCACCGCCGAAAAGACCCTTGAAGGAGTTCAGGGATGAGCCGAAGGTGTCGTCTTCGTATTCGCCTTGTGCGGAGGTACTCGCGTCAACGTTGGCGCGGGTATTAGCCTTTTGCGCGCGCGCGGTGATACCACGGACCCAGCCATCGCGCAAGTGCAGGAAATCTGTGTTCCGCGTAGGCACGATGCGGAAAGCCGTGCGCAGGCCGTCCTTCTTTAGGATCGCATCCCAGACATCATCGCCCTTTTCGGGGTCGAGAAGGAGGTTCTTGAGTTGTTGGCGCTCTCCTGGGACTAGAGACGTAGCGTAGTTCGCGCCCGCACCCCCGGTAACTGCGCTGGTATTATCGCCGGGTGGGTTCAGTGCGGTGCGGACGAGCCGCTGCTGGAGTTCCGAGATATCAGCCGTCGCGACGTACATCCCGACAACGTAGACCTGGATAGAGAGGAAAGAGACAGTGCGGATCCCCAGACCCAACAGCTGGTACTCATCCTCCTCCACCGATGATGGGATATCATCACCGGGATTCAAGTTCTCGTCAAGAGTCTTGGGAAGACGAATGGTACTCGGGAAATGCGGGATCGTGCTGGTTCCCGTCTCGACGAAGTCCGCGCCGTCTTGGCCCTCGATGCGGATTACGGAGTGTCCGCTTGCATCGTTAGGGAAGCCTGGTGGTCCGTCCATTTTCATGGCTCCGGAGCTGGTCTCGGTCCCGGATGCAGTACCATCTGTCTTGGCTTGTTCGGCCTGTTTGAGACCGAATACATCCAGCTCGATCACTCCGTACATCGCGACCGCGCAGGCTGCGATTCCCGCGGCGGACCGGGTCATCGACCGGCGGGTGTTGGCGATGTCTTGGGTTTTGCTTGGGCGTGCATTGCCGGTGCGGAGGGGGTTTGCGTTTGCGTTGCGGAGGGGAGAGGTTCGCGTTGAGAAGAGGCGGGCATTTCGTGTGTTGTGGAGGTATTGGCTGCGGATGCAGGGACCGCAGGTTCGTAAGGGTGATGCCATTTTGTAGATTGGTCTGTGTTTTGAATAGGTATTTTGGCTCTGGAGGATCGCTACGGATGGATGGTCTGATGGATCGGCGACGACGGACACGTGATGTGGGTCTACCCTGTTTCCTATTTGGGATGCTTATTGTACGGTGTTGGATTGGTGAAGCAAGTTGTATTTTTGATGAAGTATAACAATAGAACATGGTATTAACAAAACAACACAACAGAAAGACAGAAGAAAATTAGAAATCACGCACCCCCACGTCAATATCCTTCCGGCACTTATTACACACAAACGAAGAACAAACAGCACAGGTAAACATGGTATCATCCCCCAGCCCATCCGCGATTATCTTATCTCTGGGCCTTGTCGCAAAACGACCCGTCTGTACACACGCAAGAGATACACCAGGGGGCTTCACACAAGGAAGCATCTGACCCCAGCAGCACTCACACTCGAACTGCAACCCGACATCGAACTCCCAATGCTCGACGGGACGCCACCCGTGCAGACAGTTAAACGGAACGGTGCGCTTGGTATATTGAATGATGTGCGCTTCTGTTTCGTCGTCGTAATCCATGCAGTTGACTGCCTCGTCTTCGTTGTCCGTGGTTTGCGGAGTCTCAGGACCACTATCGTCCTCGTCCGATGTCGAATAAGCCTCGTCTTCGAGGCAGTCAAGTTGTTCCTGCATGGTCTTGCATGGCCATCCTTCGCATGTTTCGACGTCCCGGAGACAATGCCAGCACCATTTCGCGCCACAGCGGCAGCACATACTGTTGCATGCGTCGTCGTCGTCGTCGTCCCTTTCCACCGCCGTGCGACACTTGGGGCACCGCTTTGCACCGACCTCCTTCAAAGCCCGGTCTAACTCTGGTGTGATATTATCGTCCCTAGCACATACCTGCTCTTCATGAGCAACTTGAATACAAGTAGTGCAGATAGCAACATCACACTCCGGACAGCTGATAACAGACTCCTCGTCCTCTTGCATCGATGACACAGACGCACGCAGCCCCGGAAACAGCCGCGGGGCCAAGAAAGCCGAGCATTTAGGAACAGGACAATAGCACCGCTCCGCAGTATTCCATTCCTCATGCTTCTCTTTGAATATCTCTACCTCGGTGCCTGTAAGCACTTGTCGACCGATGGCGAGAGGAATAGCCATCCCGCAGCATCGAGGCGGCATGCATTTTTCGTTCTGGGTTGCGAGTAGGAAGAACGTGCGGAGGCAGCTGTGGCAACTGAGGCCGTTGCACTCGATGCACGTCTGCAGTGGCTTGCCTCCGATAGGCAGCGAGCAATAGACGCAGGCGCCAACAACGACGTTGGTGTTGGAGGTAGCATCGTTCTCAGCGGCGCTGAAGTACAGTTCCAAGTCCTCCTCGCCAGTGTCGACTTCAGTCTCGAGATCTGATAATTCGTCGTCGTTGCCAGAATCCAGACTGGAACATTCAGGATAATACTCAGGCACGAGGATCTCGACTATCCCGATAACTAATCCAAAGACGAAGAGACATAGACTACCCAGGATGAGGAACGGGAGATCATAATAGCCACAGCCTCCTTCGATTGGCATAGTCTGCTCGAACAAGCTCTTGGTATAAAAAACGATGGCTTGCCATGGAGATGGCCTTTCCTGGATGTCTTCAAACTGGATGTCTTGAAGTTGTTTGACGTTGATTCTGGCGGCCATTTTGGTTGTTAGCTTGTTGGTTTTGAAAAATTGTTGATAGAATGTTGTAAGTAGGTGAGTTGATGGAAGGAAGATGGAAAGAGGAGACTCGGATTGATTCAGGTAGATTCATTTATGGTGCCTGTGCTATCTGCTGCCTATATTATTTGTATATAAGACCTAGTAAAAAGGGATTTCGACTGTAGTTCGCGAACTCTGGTTCAGGCGCCAATGAGTGTTGACTAGGGCTTTTTGAAATTGACATAGAAGCAAAGCGTAATCGAGTTCGGTTCTATCTTTTAGGAGACTATCTGCCTATCTAGAAGATATGTCATTCATACTCTTTTAATGCTCGATGCTACTTTTTATTTAGTAGAGAAAGGAATATATGTTGCCCATTTTGTAAGGCTCTTTTCTTCCTGTGAAGGTGAATAGGCTCCGTCGCAAGCAGATGAGGGCAGGACTGTGAATACTATTCATCATTGCTATCTTGCTTCCAGGAAGATGTGGTCAGTACAAGACTTTTGAGTGGCAAAATCATACGGGCTACTCGCATCTCCATGACTACAAGACCTACTTCTTGATAACATGATCATTTGAAGCAGACCCTGAGGATACACTGACGGAGCGCTGCGCTTACGATTTATTACTCAAAGACCTGCGTGTAGTAGTCAGGCCAGCGTTGGTGTATGGTTGTCACGAATCGTGTCTCGAAAAATACGGACCTGGTCAAAGACTTGTGGCTCTCTGGGACAAGATATACTCACCATAAAATACAGTGCAGTAAGTGGCTTGACACTTTTTCGTTAGACAGTTTCTCACGATTTTCTCAGCATAGATGCCAATTCGACCACAACGAGGTTTTACAGCTTTCAGACTTTCGGAACTCCAGCGCCAGGTTTCGAAGACAAACGGACACTGTGCCCATTGGTGTCGAGAGCGGATGGAATGAGACTAGGCCACGACTATATGCATACAATAACCGTAACTTATTGGTACAAGAGGGTTTGTCCCACCTTTTTTGCTGGACAAATGGTCGAATGATTGAGTGAAAACTGATGCAGAAGCATCGAACGTGGGTGCCAAAGCTCTCGTGAAATTGAGAATGAAGTAAGCTGAAATACCCCATTGCACACAGAAGTGTTTTTATTGTTGAATAACTGATAGAATACTCAGATCACCCCAGCAGTCGCAGTAGCGCCCCTTTGACAGAAAGGCTACTTCAACAATGGCATGACTTGACGCAAGTGGTTGAAAAAGCTAGACTCTTGACGCCAAAAGAGACGCAATGAGGTTAAAAAGGTATTGGTCAAGTACCACCATGAATATAAGTCAAGCAACGAGCCGCCATAGGTATCGAAAGGCCGGGGGAAAGACAAGAAATAAGACTTGCAATGAGAAAATGGCGCGCAAAGAATATTGTCAAGAGAAGAAAAAATCGGACAGAGGAAATTGATACTGTTCGGAAGAAAAGCCGAGACTAATGCAAAGAGAGCAACGGCGCTTTTTATGTGATCGCAACAGCAGAGGACCCCATAGATGTGGCACACATCTTTCTTATTCGTTTACATTTCCGGCATGAGAAAGCACCAAGGAGAGCGAGGAAGCGATCAGGGCTCACAAGGCCGTTATACGGCAAGCGGTGATGTCCAAGCACCGGACCCAAAGTCGCGGTAAAAAGAGAGGCTTCTAAGCCCCAAAGACAAGCATTATATGTCTGCGAAAAGCCAGCCACGACGATGGAGCACCCACAGCAAGCAGAATAGATCAAGCTCAAGGTTCTCGTCTGTCGTCTGAAGCAGAATTTAGAGAGCATTTTAATCCCAGACGGCCCAAGAAGCGGCCGTCCATAAGGCTGTCGACCAAGAACAGCGCATTGACCTAGCTACTACAGTCGGACATACTCTGGTTGCTTGCTTGAGCAAACCCACTCCGTACTCAGCATCTTTGATGGTTATCCAAACTGTAATCCTGTTATCTATCTCATCGCCTTCCTATTGAGAAAGGACGGTTCGCTCTACTCACGGAAGACTGTCCGGAAGTTACAGTTACTTGATAGATCAATGGATGGCGGGAGAAAGAGATAATGATTGTACAGGGCGTGCCAACAACCAGGCTTGTAGTTCGCATGTATAAACCCGTGCGAGCGAATTGGGCCATTCGAATCCCCAGCTCGTATTTCCGAGCAAAGGTCGAGGACTCTCGTACAGCGATATCTAAAGAGGGGAAGAAAGAAAGAAAAAAAAGAGACAAAAAAAAAAAAAAAAAAAACTAGATACTGACGAAATGATATTCCTATCTAAGCTAGTGTAGCCATCGATGAGAATATCGAATCTAGAGAGGAAAAAAAAAAAAAAAAAAGATAACATCCCCCGAGCCGGAATCGAGCCAGCGACCTTTCGGTTACAATATTCCATTACAGCCGAACGTCATATCCAACTAGACCATCAGGGGTTGTCAGATAAACACTATATTTAATATAACCTTTATGAACAAAAAACTTCGGACAAGAACTTTCCTGATATACCGTTTTTCTTTCTGTGGATGTATTGCATGATGACACTACAGCTTCAGGAAATGTCCATTGGGTAAGGGGGCCAATGTCACGGGCTCGGAAACTAGTAGATAATAACGAAATAATATTCCTATCTAGACTAGGTTGTAGCCATCGACGAGGATATCGAATCTGGAGAGAAGAAAGGAGAGGAACTATCTAGAGGATGAAAGAGGTTCTTTATAACTACTGTACGGCGGGTTTCTACGCATGTCGGCTTGGTTCGGTGTCTTTTGTCATTATTAGCCGTAGACGCACTGTCAAGCCGTATGCGCGACGTCGAGCCAAAGGAATTGTTATTATAGCAGCGTCAATCCACCTCTAATAACTTTACCTCCAGAAGCGTCGGGAACAGCCCAAAGTCGGCTTGCTTGCAGTCAAGTGTTCGACGACATACTTTGCAGGCCCAAAATTTCAAAATGGTATGTATATCATGAAAGGTTTCTGGGGGACAGCGCCGTAAACTTAGGGGCTATCTGACCGGTGTGGAGGTCCGGTAGTGCAGGACGAAAATTAGGATAGCTCCAAATCTTCCAATCGCTGTGCTTTAGCTCAGGGTAAGGTGAACGGGCAGAACAAGTGGATACGAAAAGCGCCATACAGAGGACGCTAAACAAAGAGAAGCAGTAGTGCATCGGCTCTGATTCAATTGGAATGGTAAAGTCGTCATTGCCAGGTTGCATCTAAAAAAATCTTGGACCGGGGTCTGAATTCCTTTTTTGGCGCAATTAACTTGCCTCTGGAACTTGGTCTTCTGTGATTTGTATGCATATGGTGGTGATGGAGGCTGAACCTGAGTAGGAAGTAGAAACCCAGTCCTTTTCTGACCTATTGGCAGACATCTCAATAAACCCCACCATAGCACCCATTTCGACTAAGATGCCTGACTTTTGCCAAGAATACACAAAATGACGAGAGATCTGTCCTCCGCAGACAATACCACGGTATTAACCCTGCAACTATAAAACAATGTGAGAGCAGGTTCCTCTTTCCCCAGGGATATACGACATGTGGGGTGGCACTCATGTCGTCGGTTCGAAGCGCTTTTTCAAAAGAATATAAATCACGTTAGTTAGTGTCTGGAAAATTTGTAATAATGATTGCCCTAGTTATGACTTACGTGCAGGATGTAACTCAGGATATTCTTTTTTTTGGCTCTGGTGGCAAAATTACAGCCCAAACTTTAACAAAAACCCCTGATGGTCTAGTTGGATATGACGTTCGGCTGTAATGGAATATTGTAACCGAAAGGTCGCTGGCTCGATTCCGGCTCGGGGGATGTTGTCTTTTTTTTTTTTGTCTTTCCTCTCTAGATTCGATATTCTCATCGATGGCTACACTAGCTTAGATAGGAATATCATTTCGTCAGTATCTAGTAGTGTGTGTGTGTGTGTGTGTCTATTTTACGTCGAGGTTCGGGCCTTTCCACGCATCCTTGGGAACCTCGGAAGCGGAAAAACTCTGGTCCCGGTGCGGGACATACGACGGGCAGATCGAGACTGCCTGTCACCTAGCTAAACTACCATCTATCATCTATATACAGGTAGCCTCCCGCGCGGGGGGCTGCTTGGGTTTTCATGACTGTCAAAGCAGCAAAATTGCGCGTATTGGTTTGCAACAAAAGAAAAAGCATGAACGCGAACAAGAGGGGCAGGGCAGGGGTACAATAAAAGGGGAAAGGAAGGGGAGAGAGAGAGAGAGGAAGGGAGACCGGAGGTAAGCCTGGATGTCCCTGGATTTGGTGAGTTTTGATGGCCTAATGTCGTCGGCAGATATCTGTATAGAAGTTGGATTCTCCCAGCCAGCCTGCAAATGCGGTGTTTCCAGCCTTTGTGTGGAGGATATCGGTCACAGGCTGGCGGCCCCATGGATGTGCTGCTGCTTTGCGGCCCTCCCTGCAGTGATAGAAATGGGATGGTTCCTTTCTGCGGCCGCAGGAGCATGTCAGCAGGGCGTCATCATGTTTAAAGCGTTCATGGTACTCTGCAAAGTCACCATGTCCGCTCCTGGCGGCGAGGAGGCGGCCCAGGGCTGCTCGTGGAAGGAGGAGCTCTGGGGGGCGCTTTTCCAGGCCTATCCTGAGGTCCTTGTATCGTTTGGGGGCCTTTTCTGCCCAGAACTGTGTGAAGGCATGCCAGTGCATCCTCTGTGCTATTCGTCTGGCAGCTGCTATTGACGCAGGTGCTATAGGGAGATACAGGGGCCCGTGGCAGCCCATCTTGGCTTCTTTGTCGGCTTCTTCGTTGCCTTCAACGCCTGTGTGCCCAGGGACCCACTTCACGTGCACCCTGCCTTCCTGTATGCCTGGTGCTCTGGTGCGGTTTGGCCATGTTTGGGCGGCTTCTTGGAAGCTCCTGGATACTGACTGGCTTGATCCTGTGGGCTGGCCTTGGAGTTGCTGTACTGCTTCCAGGTTGTCCAGACAGATGTATATGTCTATGGTATGCTTGGCTCTGGGGTTCTTGAGGGCAGCATGCAGGCCCTGCAGGGCGGCTCTGGCTTCTGCATCAAAGACTTCTTGATTGGGGAGCTTTGTGTGCCCATGGAAAATCTTGGTCTTGTTGGGGCCCCAATAGCTCACCCAGCCTGTACCTGCGGCTGTGCTCTCCTTTTCTTTGGATCCATCTGTGTAGACCACCATTGCTGGTTGTGGGATGGAAGAGAGCCATCTCTGGAACTCCTCCCTGGATTGTGTCTTAGAAATCGCGGTTGGCTGCCCTTTGGGTGCTGGATTTGAGACCCAGGGGGTTGTCTGCAGCGGGTCAATCTGTTCAAATAGGTGGAAGTTTGTTGGGTCAATGGCTCGGAGTAGGCGGTCAGTATCTAGTAGTAGTAGTAGTAGTTGCTATTTTACGTCGGAAAGTGGCACGTGCGCTGGTCACGTGCCCACAGAGATCCCGGAGCGGAATATACGACGGGCGAAGCAGACTCGCCTATCTAGTAGCTAAGCTAATTTTATCATACATGCTGGCATAGGCTCGCTAACAAGAGCCCGCCTATAATCATTGGGGCCGCTTTCAAAGGCGATACACAATCTGTGGAGGAAGGGAAGGAGGAAAAAAAAAGGGGGGAATAGGAGGGAGGGTGTGAAGTGTTTTGAGGTGGGGTTTTTCAGTGCGCAGGGCATGTTGTGCGGTAAAAATGAGATCTCTGCAACTATTCATGGAAGTTTCTTGTTCCTGACTTAGAGCGCAGGATCTCATCTACCTGTTGGTTTCCCCATGGATGTGAGGATGCCTTGTGGCCCTTTCGACAATTCGTCAGTATCTACTAGTCCGAGCCCGTGATCACTCACACACATGGTCACGTGCGCTGCTGAAGCCGCCCTAGCTACTAGAGAAAATCAACCATTTTCACCCACTAAAAATTCTAGGAGATATATATGGCCCAAGCAGAAAAAAAAAAGAACCTTACTATCCCCCGAGCCGGAATCGAGCCAGCGACCTTTCGGTTACAATATTCCATTACAGCCGAACGTCATATCCAACTAGACCATCAGGGGTTGCGAGGATACCAGACGAAAGTAATAAAGTACTATCAAGAGTTTGATTGTGAGGTGATATTTATGGTGCAGTGGGCCTGGGATACAACAGTACACAGTGCTTTTGTCACAACCTGGCTTCTCTCGTATCGTACCTAGGGTCCTAGTTAGTTGAGTCTCAGTTGGGGGCACTCACCTGAGTGTCCTTCACGTCGTCGTATATCGATAGTGACTTTTAGGGTCTGTCCGGTGATGCAATAATGCGTCGCTTGGTATATCGCCCCAGCCAGGCTACGTAAACAAGTAAGGTCGATAAGGTGACGAAATAGAGAAACAAGGCCAACTGAGTACGTATACTCAGGTCATAATCCCTGCCTTGCTCACTGATCATTCCGTTTGAGCATATCCCATGATTCTGCCTTGACTCTCCGCATCATCACGTGAGAGTGATACGATAAGGTCTGTAACAGCTTTGCATTCAAATTCTTTTCCAACATTAACACAAAACTGCTGATTGGGGGGCAAGCAACTGCGCAAATTCTCAATGTGACGCGGGTAAATTCACTTGACAAGCTGGCATTAAAGGATCGGATTACAAATACAGCCCTAACAAAATCTTTCATTTCAAATGACAGGGCAAAAAAATACTTTCCCCCGAGCCGGAATCGAGCCAGCGACCTTTCGGTTACAATCTCCATTACAGCCGAACGTCATATCCAACTAGACCATCAGGGGTTAGATACCATTATTTATAAGTTTTATTCTCTATAACCTAATTTAAGGACTCAGCTTTTCTTCATATTAGTACAATTATAGGATGCATAGGCTCTTTCTAGTGAATATACCTACTGACTCTTCGTTGATTGATTACAGTTGTATCGATAAATGAGGCTTTTAGAGGCACATGGGGGAGGCGTTGAATCCCCGTCGAATTCATATTTGGCGATTGTTGGTCTTCAGAATCCGATGCCACATAGGGTTTGTGTCACAACCTGGCTTCTCTCGTATCGTAACCTAGGGTTTTAGTTAGTTAAGTCTCAGTTGGGGGCACTCACCTGAGTGTCCTTCGTCGTTGTCGTTATATCGGTTAGACCCCTAGGGTCTATGTCGTAGTGCGCCGCGTGGTATATCGCCCCAGTAAGGCTCCGTAACAAAGTATGCGCTGCTTGGTATATCACCCCAGCCAGGCTCCGTAAACAAGTAAATCCGATAAGGGTAATGAAGTAGAGAAACAAGGCCAACTAAGTACATATACTTAGTTGTTGGTTTAGTGCTGACGAGTCTGAACTAGAAAGGTAACCAATGCTTGATTGATGAGGACAATCGCGAAGAACTAAACTAAGTACATGAATGAGTATCCTTATATATCCTCCACGATATCAGTATAACATCCCCGAAGTATACTGGTATACCCTATACAGAGCTAACAGTATAACTCCCGACTTGTATACCTGTATACCTCCTGCAGGTCACGTGAGGTATGTCGTACTTCCTTAATGCTCAGGTCATAATCCCTGCTTAACTCACTGATCATCCCGCTGAGCATACCCAATGGTTCTGCCTTAACTCCCCGCATCGTCACGTGAGGCTGACAGGATAAGGTCTGTAACAGTTTGTTCCTATACTGATTCTAAGATCAGAGTCTCAAAGCACCTTGACAGCTGGCTCGTCCAAGATTTCGTCGTGGAATGGCCTGCGAGTATACACCCCCTACACGGGCGTCAGTTCGTAGGGGCAGTTTCGATGTGTGGGGGCCGTTCTTTCATGTTCTTTGTTCGAGAAGCCTGGGCTTCTACTCAATGATATCTTGTATGTCCATTTCTCGTGACAGAACCTGCCTGCTCCCTAGGCTGAATATATCCTGAGATGAGGCTCACGGTAGATCGTCGCTCCAGGAGATATAACTGGTGGTACTGTGTCGGCACTTGTTCGGCATTATGCCACGACTCCGTTGAAGTTGGAGATCTGATACAATACAAGCGAAAGACAAGGCGATGAAAAGGATGACCGCTGGTAAGAAGCTATCAGGCCACTGAGTGTCAACTTCAAGTCCCAGATGCACCTAAACCGAGCCAAAAAATAATAATAATAATAAAAATAAAAATAAATTCCCAAAATGGCCTAGATGCAGCGTCGACCTGTCGGGAAAATTTGCTATTTTAGAATCATGATTAAGGCTGAGCCGACAAACTACTGCTTCTCTCTGCTTCCCTGCCGTGTGGCCCCTTACGCTTTCGCTTGCTCTGCCCTTTCAAATTACGAGAATGATTTTCTTTCCCACGAGGGCGGCAGCCATTAGATCCATTTGGAACCATGTTGAAGGATGCCCTAACTTTCCGGAATAAGTGACTACATTCATTGTTCCTAGAAGTGATGTTATCGTCGCAGAGTGAATCAATGCTGCTGTTATGATAATTCAAATTCCCCAACCTCTTTACATGTGTCACAACCTAGCTTCTCTTCGTATCGTAACCTAAGGTTCTAGTTAGTTAAGTCTCAGTTGGGGCACTCACCTGAGTGTCCTTCGTCGTCGTC